CGGTACACCGATTATATATATATATATATATATATATATATATATATATATATATATATATATATATATATATATATATATATATATATATATATATATATATATATATATATATATATATATATATATATATATTAGGTTGGTTGAAAAGTTCGCGGAGCGGAAATGAAAAAACAATTTTATGATTCAAAAAATGACTTTATTCTTCAGTATATTCTCCCTTAAGAGCAATACACTTTTTCCAACGATTCTCCAATTCATGTATCCCATCACTGAAGTGCGATTCCAGAAGGCCTTCAAAATACCCATTTACGGCTGCAATGACTTCTTCATGTGATGAGAAACGCTTTCCACGTAGAAATTTTTTGAGATGTGGAAAGAGGTGGAAGTCGGACGGAGCCAGATCTGGTGAATAGGGTGGATGTTCCAAGCGTTCGTACTTTAATTCGACCAATTTCGCCTTTGCAACATCGCTGATATGAGCAGGTGCGTTGTCCTGGTGATAAATGACTTTTTTATGCAGCAAACCAGGTCTTTTCTCACGAATTTTTTTATCCAACTGGTCCAAAAGATTTTTATAATATTCACCTGTTATCGTTTTACTGGTTTGAAGGTAATCTATTAATAAAATTCCTTTCGCATCCCAAAAAACTGATGCCATAACCTTCTTTGACGATTTTGACGCCTTCACTTGCTTCGGAGCTGAACAACCGGGTTCTGTCCACTCTGCAGTTTGTTGTCGCAGCTTCGGATCATAGTGGTAAAGCCAAGTCTCATCCATGGTTACGAATCGACGCACAAAATCTGTTTTATTCTTTTGAAAACGGGCCAAATGTTCTTGAGAAAGTTTTACTCGAGTGCGTTTCTGATCCAGAGTTAGCGAATGCGGCACCCATCTTGCCAACAGCTTTCTCAGACGTAATTCATCGTGCAAGATGTGTAATACCCGTTCATCTGAGATGCCCACAGCATCAGCAATTTCACGTTTGGTCAATCGTCTATCATCCATAACCATGTCATGCACAGCATTAATCGTTTCTTCAGTAGTAGCACTTTTTGGACGTCCAGAGCGAGGGTCATCTTCAAGGCTTGAACGCCCACGTTGAAACTCCGCAGCCCATTTGCATACTGTTGTTTTTGAAGGAGCATCATCACCCAACACATTTACCATTTCATTATGAATTTCCATGGGCTTTAAACCTTTTTTTCACAAAGAATTTTATTACAGCACGATGTTCAATATTTTCCATTTTAAAAAATACTATGACACGTCTAATTTCAATAGCTTGTAAACAAAGACTGAAATGACATATCGACTTGAAATTTTTTATGCGTTCATACGAAGAATGAATACGTTTAATACAGTTATAAATTTGTTTCTACTACTGCAACATAGGTGCCGCTCCGCGAACTTTTCAACCAACCTAGTATATATATATATATATATATATATATATATATATAGGTGGGAGCAGCGGAAAGACATATAATATACATACCAATAACACCTCTATAAATATTTAAAGTTTGAAAACCAATCTTTTTTGTTTGTTTTGTATTAGATCCAGTCAAATTAAACTTTGCTTGCAGTTTATTTGCCATTAACCTGTAAAGAAATAACAAATAATTTAAAAAAAATTACATTAAAAATATCTCAAACTAAAAATAAACTAAATTAATGAAATCATCGCAAAATTATGCAATAAACAACAATGGATATCTTAATTAGGATATGAAAAATTAGACAACTTAGTGGTTAGAGTTAACAGAATAACCAATCTAGACTAGTCAATATACATGTGATTTGATACTGAACAGGTATATTGAAACATACCTGTTTAAAACATTTGCTACACATTTCTTTGCACTGCTTCCACCAAGTCTAGAAAGTTCTTTCACCTGTAATTGAAAAGTAATTTTACAAGTTACAAAATATATTGTACACTTTAGAACTACTTTAAATGCTTTCTTAAAGGTTTCTTTTAAATAATTACAAGAAATAAAATTATCATAGTTCAAAATATGGTTTAATTAATTAACACTCTTTTGTAAGTAAAAAAATGTTCGATTGTCCTGCAAGGCTCTTAGGAGGCACTTTTTCAAAATTTTAGTAGCCCTTTAAGAAAATGAGTCATCCTGTATTTTTATGGTTTGAATATTTCTTATATAAAATTTATAATGAATCACGCAGTCTCATTTTCATACTTGTGTTATATAAATAATTTGAAACAATGAAAACCTTACAAATGCTTTGAACTCTTTAAGATTCGTCAATCCTGCATCAAACGTTATCAAATCTGCAAGCTCGGCAAATGGTTGGGGAAGATGATAAACATCATCTTTACTTTCATTAAAAGTAGAAACTAATCTAAACAGATCGTCAAGCCTTGTATCGATATGTTCTAATTTCCGAATTACCATCAATTGAAATGCTAAATTTAAAAAAAAAAGAAAAAAGATTTGTGTAAAAAATAAGTATAAAACAAAAATTCCAGCACATCAACACATCAGATTTTTATAAGTTATCAGCAATCTAAATGCGAACAAAAATAAAATTGAAAAGAAAAGACAGAAACTACATTACCTTTATTATTTTTTTACTATTTTTTGGCATGCTAATTTGTGAACTGCCTGGCAATGAATTAAGTGGTAAACCTAACATAAATAGATGAAAAAAAATGAAATGAACCTAATAATTTTTAAATTCTTTTTTATAAAGCTATTATATAAAAAAAATGACATAAACCTAATAACTTTTAACATTTTTTTATACAGTATAAAGAAAATGTCAGTAAAGAAAATGTAATACTGACACATTTTTTTAACATTTTTTTTATATTTATATTTTCTTTACATTTTGATTTGATATTTATCCTTTTTTTCTTTTTAAGAAACATCTCTTCTTCACTATTTTCATCTTGGTCATCCAAGAACTGTGTAACATCTAAATAATAAAAAAACAATCAAGATTACCAAAGGACTTCTTTACAACATATCATATTTACATTAATATTTTAAAACCTCCACTACTAACATAATAGAGCAAGCACAATATTTATCAAGTGTATACCTAAACTAGATTTTGTTGTTCGCTTTTTCTTAGTAGGAGGAACAGGAAGTGGTAATACAGTTCGTTTTTTATTTGGAGAAATTTGTTTACACTCTAAATTTTACAAAACACACTTTACAAGTATTTTAAAACAAAGTAGAATTTTTACTTTGAAGATAGATTTTTCTAGAACTTTAAGAAATATAAAAACTAAAAAAACAATTCAAAAGTATTGAAGAATCGAACTTCGTTGCTAGTTTTTCATTATTTTATCTTTACAATTAAATACAAACTAAACTAGACTAACATGTCTAGTCAAGCAATCAAAATTTCTTACTTATTATATCCATTACTCCAGCGGTCTCTCCAGCAGTAACATTATCACCATACTTGTCACATACACCTCTATCATTATCTAAGTATGTTAATAAAGCAATCAAAATTTGATAACTGGGATATACTTTCCTTAAATATGACAAATATAAATAGTTGTATAATATAAATATGAACAAGTACAAATATAAATCATTTGTATTTATTTTAACACAATATTTGAAAATACCTGTAATTTTGACATATTTCAGTTTAAATTTAAGCCAATCATCTGTTGGATCATATCGTTTTTGAACTGCAGATTCCACTTTTCTATTCGGCCAATAAACAAAACCACTCTTTATCCAATTAGATGGAATTGTATTTTCAAACTCACTGACAACACCTTCTTTAGAATATTCCAACCAAACAGCTCTTGTCCAAGCCATAGTTCAAAAAAGTTTAATTTTAAGATGGATTTTAGCTGATAAAAAATTGAAAAAACCTGTAAAACCTTTTTAAAAAATATTTTAGAAATATTCATTCTGAACTAAAAGAAATATGAATATTTTCTAACCAAAAATACTTATAAATTGTCAGAAAATATTTTTGATACAATATACTTATTGCGATACAATAAAACAAAATAGAGTTTGCACATAATTATACTTTTGTGTGTGTGTTGCACAAAAAAGTTTAAGTCATCATCATCATTAAACTTTTTTGCACATGCTTACGTCATGTGTGAATTGCGGTTTTGAAAACATATTTAAAGAAAAATTATATTAAATTACAAAAACAGTAATAATAACAAATACAAATGAACTACTGAATGTTTTATAAACAGTATCTATAATTTAACATTGTGATGCAGTGGTATAATAACAGTCCCAGTTTTATATGGAATAGCACATGCTTTTTTTCTTATTTTATTTTTTTTAATAACTTTTCTTTGAAACCCACTGTTTGCATGCAGAAGATAAATATCCACAAGTTTTGAGCAACACGGCTTGCTAAAAAATCCATCTAGTCTGGATAACTTGTATACATTGCATTCAATATCATTTTTGTTTAAAACTTTTGTAATGCATATAATTTTTGGCGAATAAAGGAAAAACCAGCTATCTTTATTATTAGACTTAAATTTTGTTTTTATATTCTTCTCGTTTTGATAAGAATTAGTATTTTCGATTTCGGCAATTCTTTTAGTTATTTGCGACAATGGATTTTGAGGTTTACGAATATACTTCTTAAGAGTTCTTAGGTAATTCTCAAAAGGGAAAGCAGACATTTCTTGCAGACTAGAGGAATGATTACTAATGTCATCAGCGATATGCGTTAAATGATGAACATTATAACTCATAAAATCTTGTCCATACAAAACAGGAGCAGCGCTAACAAACCAATTTAAAAGCTGTTGTGCATAGGACACTAATTCACCATCTAAAAAAAACTTGTCATCAACCATTATGGTCACTGCTACAGATAATGACAAAAAATGGTGATACATTTGGCGCGAAACAATGTTTTTTAGTACAACCATTCCAGTATACAACAGAAAATTCTTAAACTCTGTTGCTTTCCATCGCTTAAACTCAGCCAGACTTCTTGGTTGTCGGGCAAACTCTGATGGCATTTTGCCATTAAGTTGGAGAAGGTAATCTGATATGGCTGCCTTTTGAGCTGGTGCAAGTCTAGATACCTTTGGACCTTGATACAAATATTTCAAGATTCTTTTAACCACACCAAGATATACTAGATGCATTATGTCTAAAACAAATCCAGAAATGCAAGGAACATTTCTTGATGACAAACTACATATACTTTTTTGATGTTCTTTTTTTTTGCTTTATTTTTTTTTTTATGCAATATTTAGAGCAACTTATAACATTAATAATTGTAGAATATATTTATGTTATTAATTTTTTTTTATCGTTTAAGGAATACATTTTTAGAAGAGTTTTTTTGTAAAGTAAATTTTGCGCTTTTAACGGAAATTTCCGGCAGCAGATTTTCCAGAATTTTTCCGTTATTTTACAGAAAAATCAGTCACATGGTAACGGAAATATCCGTTTAAATACGGAAATATCTGTTATTACGACGATAGATATTTTCCGTAATTTATACGGAAATTTCCTTCAACACTTTATTTTTCCGTAAAACAACGGAAACTTTCTGGAAAATCTGCTGCCGGAAATTTCCGTAAAAAACGCGATATTTTTTTAACAGTGTATATACGTTATACGTTATATGTTAGAATTATAATAATAGTATATGTATAATAGTATATGTTATATGTCATAGATATAATAGTATATGTTATATGTTATTATAGTATATGTTATATAAATATATAAAAATAATAGTATATGTTATAGAATACGTTATATGTTATATGTACGGAAAAAACACAAAAAAAACTTGACGTTAAATTTGTGTTAATAAGGTAGGCCTCATAAAATTATTATTTTAATATGGCAAAAAGTTACGCTGGCGCTCTCTCTATGTTCATCTGGTCAAACTAGAAATAATTTTGGCATTTTTAGTTCCAAACTAAATGTCGAAAACTCAAATGTCCTCGTTTGTCGTTATGGAGACTTAAACCGATTTTCTTGCTGTTTTAGCGCAGAAAAAATTACTCGGAAATGTTTGGGGTGTGACGAGACGCTATTATAACAAGTTGTTTGAATTCGCTGTTATTAGCGACTCTTCAGTTGCTACGTTTTTAGAAACTGACATTAAAATAAAAGGTTGTGTTTTAACCTTCCAACAAAAATTTGTTCGAAAGGTGCACGTTTTAGTTCAAAACATCCCTGTCGGCACACTCAGGAATGGTTGCCAAAGTGCTATTGTTTTACTTGGTAAGCATCTAGCTGTCGGCATCTAGCTGTCGGCTTCATCTAGCTGTCGGAAGAGGAGAGTATGACTCTTTTTTTATTTGCAAAAATGTAAAAACTATGGAGAGGATATTTTTACTGGAAATGTGATCATTATTATCAGAAACTGGAAAAATCCACATCAAAACCCCTTTACCGATATCAAAACGTTGATGAACTCACTCTTCGCTACAAACACCAAGGCCAACCCGAATCCAACCCTCCAAAATTGACAAACTCAACTGTTTTACCTTCAATACAACCTACCGTAACGCAGAACAACAGCGCAAGTGAAGACATTGATGCTAACAGTGGCAGTGTTGACATCAATGTGGATATTGCTACGGTAAATCAATGTCTTAATGAAAAAGAACACCCTGTAAAACCACAAAAAATAAAATCCACTCAACCAACAAGAAAAAAACTCGGTCAATCGGAGTGTGAAACCCCCAAAAAAGTTATTAACACCACGGAAATTAAAGAATCCACGCATTAAAACGATGTGATGTTTTGTGACGATGAAACAGATATTTTAATAATAGATGAAGATTATGATAGCCAACTTTGTGCGGAAAAGGAATCGTAAGATTATTTTCTCTCATTATTTTTGTTTTGTCTTAACTTTCTTTTTTTCGCTTTGTTTTCAAATTTGACTTTTTGTTCAAACCTTTCTGTTTTTAAACTTAATTTTTTTTTTTCTACCAATAATTTTTTTCCCGAGTTTTTTTCTGTTCTATTTAAATTTCTCATTAAAATGAATGGCACATGTTTAATTATGCGCATAAGCTGTCGTAAATCGTATTGTTGTAGTTCGCGCTTTTTTGTGAAATGATATGGTCCAGTGCGTCCATCTGTTCGTATTACGTCATTTCAATCAAAAACTCGTGTTCTAAGGTTAAGGTTTAAATGTTTGTGTTTTTTATATCAGGTTGTAAACTTATTATATTTATGTTTAAGCTACACGAGTTTTCAAATTAGGAAAGCTGATCCTCCCCGTCATGGCTATTAATATTTTAACATGCAACATAAACGGTCTAAACACCCAAACCAAACGCGACAATTTTTTTGGTTTTCTTAAAAAGTCCTCCTTCGATCTTATCCTCCTTCAGGAAACAAAATCTGGACCGTACACTGTAAAGCAGTGGGGTGATGAATGGATTGGCGAGTCTATTTGGAACTCTGGTCCAAGTCACAGTTGTTGCGAGGTGGCGATTCTCTCTAAACCCAACATTTCTGTAACCGAGCTAAAACGGGACACTAACGGTAGAATATTAAACGCCATGATAAAAATTAGTGAGCACGAAATGCAAGTGCTAAATATTTACGCACCTAATGTGCCGAGAGAAAGGCGCCTTTTTTTTGGCGACCTTGGAGAATTTTCGCAGGACACAGGACTACCCGTCCTGTTGGCCGGAGATTTCAACATGGTCGAAAGCCTACCTCTTGACTCAGAAGGCTCGAACAATGCAAAATATCATACCTACGGCATTGCTAAACTCAGGGTCTTCCAAAGTAAGTATAACCTAGTAGATGTTTTTCGTTATAAGTTTCCCAACAAAAGAGAATTCACATGGCGAAATCAGACGGTTAAATGTAGACTCGACAGAATCTACTGTCCTGATGAAGTCGCCAAAAAAGCAACATACACCAAAATTCTCACCAACCCTTTTTCCGACCACGAGTTCGTGTCAACAACTGTCAATTTTAGTAAAACTAGGAGAGTACCAGGATACTGGAAATTAAATTGCTCTCTATTGAAAATAGAAGGTTTTCATCATCACTCAATATTTGAGTGATGATGAAAACCAGTTTTTAAACACCCGCCTAACCGGCGCGGAACTAAAAGCAGCCCTTTTTAAATTTGAAAACGGAAAATCTCCGGGCTATGACGGATTTCCAGCTGAATTTTACAAAACTTTTTGGCACATTTTAGAAAAAGATTTTGAAGAACTTGCCTACGAAATTCTTTTTGTAGAAAAAAATACTAGCCACTCTATGAAAAAGTCAATAATTTCACTGATTCCCAAACAAGGAGATCTTACTAAATGCAAAAATTGGAGGCCCATATCTTTAATCGGCGCCAATTACAAAATAATCACAAAAGCGCTGGCCCAGAGACTTGCAAAAGTCATGGGGAAAAATATAGAAACAAATCAGACTTGCGGAATTCTAGGTAGAAACATCTTTTCAAATTTACATCTAGTACGTGATCTTATAGATTACGCTGAATTTAAAAAACTATCTAGTTTCATTTTGACCATAGATCAAGAAAAGGCGTTTGACAAAGTCGATCGTGCGTTTCTGTTGTAAATTCTCCGAAAATTTAATCTCGGAGAAAAGTGTACCCTTTATTAACACCTTGTATTCAGACGTTTCGGCAACTGTTCTGAATTGCGGCTTCCTGTCGACCTCCTTCCTTACAGAAAGGGGTGTTAGACAAAGCGACCCTCTCTCTCTTTTGTTGTACGTTTTTGTCGCTGAAGCTTTGGCTTTGGTGATAAGAGTGGACAGCAGAATAAAGGGTTTTCCTATACCGGGAAAACTGAAACCTCTAAAACTACAGCAGTAAAAAAAGCAACTGGTTCAGTGATCAATACCTCAAAAACCAAGGGTTTTACTCTAGGGGGTTTTGATCCCAAAATTTACAGAAAATTGGATAACATAGAGTGGAACAACGACACCGGTTTTAAAATTTTAGGTGTTACCTTTTATACCAGACTGAGCAATACTACCAATTTCAACTGGCAAGTAGCTATTAACAAAATAGCGAAAAAGCTCAAGTTTCTGGGACTGCGTACTTTGTCACTTAGGGGAAAAACTATTTTGATAAATACGCTGGCAATGTCAAAAGTGTGGTTTCTAGCAAACGTGTTGCCCACTCCTGATTGGGTTATAGAGCGTTTACATAGAGCCATTTTCGAAAATCTGTGGCAAAAGACCAATTTCAACCGGGTCAAACGAGAGACCCTTTTCCTACCCGTCAAAAGCGGGGGTTTCGGAATATTATCACCAAAGTAGCAAAGTTTTGCGCTCCACCTCAAAACGCTCTTTCAAATAAAAGAGTACGAAGAGGGCAAAACTCACGATTCTTACTACTTTTCAAAGTATTGGTTGACAAGTTCACTTGTAAAATTTACTAAACAAAACCAAAGCTGGAACTTGAAGACAAAACACTTTTCCAAAACACTGGGACAACAAAATATCTCAGTACTACAAAACCACAATTGAATTTTTAAGCAAATACGGGTCCCTGTTTAACATCCCCCTAAAAACAACAAAAAATATTTATTTAGAAGTAGCAAAAAATAAAAAGACAGTTGTGCCAGCTAAACTATTCTGGAACAGTTTATTACATCACCTAAGAAAAATTTTCTTGTTTTTTAATATTGCAATTTCGCAATTAAAAAATATCAACACATGTTAATAAATTTACAATACAAAATTTATAATTCTGAAGTAACTTAGTTTTCGTGTAAAAAAGTGCAAGTTATTTGGCAAAGTTAAATAGAATGAAATCTTTAAAATATTAACAATATTTGAACGCATTTTAAATAAAATTTATTTTATAGAATTATAAGCAAATTACTAAGTAAATAAAATATGTAAAAAATTAATTTATTGCATTTTATGCTATAAACGTAGAAGCATTTTGTTTTTTTAATGTGGCAAAAAAAAATAAACGTAAAAACAGCGTATATTATTTGAACTGTTTAAATATAACAGGATTAAATCTGTATTTATCATTCATAGCAGCCAATCTTTCTGTTTCGGAGACACCAATTCTCTTAACTTTGTTTTTATAAAATCTTTTAAGATCTGCCAGTATTACTCTTTCTTCATCGTGTTGACACACCATTTGATCTGTAACTTTAGCAAATTCGTTTCGAAAATCAGAAACATACTGTTTTAATTCAAAAAGTTGCTGTTTGAATGTAGCTAAAAGAGAGTTTTAAAGGTGTGATTAAAACCATCAACCACAATAAAATAATTTTTGTAAAACAAAACAAAATAAAATCTTTTTTAAAAACAGACAAACAACATAATTTACCATCCACTCCAACTTTGTTTTTCTTTCTGCGCATAATAAACTCAAATGTAAAAGCACAAACAATAAACAGAATAATCATGATGCTCAAGTAAATTAGTGAGCTTTGAAAGGCAGGCGATGTTTCAGAAAAAATATCTGCAATAATTTGGCTTGAATCTTGGACAGCAAGACTCTAATAATAAATAAAGCTATATTATATAAAGTTACATACAATATGTAAATAAAATTTTAACTACAAATATAAATGTTTACTGGAATTTCTGATCTTAATGATGTCGCAAATGCAGAAATTTCGTTACTTTTTGAACCAATAAAACTATCAATATCTATTGTTAAAACCACACTGCTTCCAGACATGACAAAACCGTACCCAGTATTTATATTATCGAGAGATATTATTGTTAAGGATTTTTCGTCCAACACAGATTGATAGCCCAACAATGATAACGTGTCAACGTACACGATATCAACAACCTTGTTCTGTAAATCTTCAAGCATCGATAAAATATCTGTGTAACGCACTATATAAAATATTTAAGTCAAAACATGTTTAATTATCATCTTTAGGGTTATTTCAAAATTTCTTACCTTGAGATACCTCTGCATTGTTTATAATAGCCAGTTTAAGTTCTAAAGAATTGTTTAATGCTGCAACCTGTGAAAATAACATATAACTTAAAAATAAAAGATAAAAGAAAGTTGTCAAATCTAAATGCAGCAACGTATAATTGATAAGGGATAAAAAGAATCAAGCTGCAAGTGAAAAGAGTTGTTTAATGTAGCAACCTATAAATACAACATATTAATAAAAATAAAAGATAAAAGTTCTAGAAAGTTGTCTAATATAAATGTTCTAAAAAATTGTTTAATGAAGGAATCTTTAATTGATAACATAAAAGATAAAAAGAACCAGCTTAAAACTACAGCCCATAATTTTCATTTAAGTTACCTACAAATAGTTTTTTAAACTTTTTGAATATTAATAAGTTAAAAACCTTTGTGTTGTATATTATTAAGTTAAAATTAAAACCTTAAAGTTAAATTAAAAACCTTTGTGTTGTATAACATATAATCCTTGGAAGAACTCAAAGTCGTTAAGTTTGTAACTATAAAAGCAATAATTATGCCGTTTAAAATTAATCCAGTAAGAAACCAAACCATTGCAAACGTTCGTGACAATACTGAACGTGGACTCAAATCGCCATATCTAGTTAATTTGAATAAAACTGAGAAATAACTATAAATGTAAAATTTTTTTAAATTTTCATAGATAATAAGCTTTGCTGTTGTCCTAATAGTCCTGCTGTCATTCTTGTCCTTAAAGTCCTGCTGTCATTCTTGTCCAAAAAGTCCTGCTGTCATTCTTGTCCAAAAAGTCCTGCTGTCATTCTTGTCCAAAAAGTCCTGCTGTCATTCTTGTGCTTATAGTTCTCATAGCTTGAAACTATGACTATAATCAAATTCTTTTATTATTAGATAATTATATAAATTTGTTTAATGTTTATTATTATTATTGCAATGTTTATTATTAGAAAAGTCATAAAAAATATTATTAACATAAAAATAAGTAATGATGCACTTTAAATAAATAAAATTAGCATTAAAAAAACTACCCAATTGTTGTCATAGTGACGAATGTAAACCAAAACCCTGACAACGGTCCTCGAAGTGAACTTCCTTTGGAAAACTGTTCTGGATTTGAAAACTGATCCTGAAAGATTAATTTTTTGTTACATTTATAGCACAATTAAAAAGAAAATGTAACCTTTTATAAACAAAAAAAACTTATTTACAGTAAACCAAATTACAATCCCAAATATAGAAGCAATGGCATAGCTGATAAGCAGCACAGGCCACACATTCAACACGCCTAACAACATTTTGTTTATAACTTGATTTATTGTATTTTCGTTTCGCACAACTATTGCGATACCAGGTGACATTACCAACACAGAAAACTCGCTGTCAGGTGCCACTTCACGTCCATTCATTCCGTATATAGGAAAACTTATGTCAACATCGTTGCTTATAGCGTTTTTTAAATCAAATTCTGAGCTTTTAATTGTTTCATCTCCGGATTTAGATTGATTGAAGTAAAGTTTAGAATTAGAGTAACCTTGACATGAACCACAAGATTTAACAACCATCTCTTGCAACAAAGTTAAAAAAAATCCGCTTGGATTCAAATTAGCATCAGCTGAAGTAAATGGTTTTTTAATGTACAAGTTTGCAAAAAGAAATTCAGGGCATTTGCATGTTTCTAAGCAAAAAGTATAACAAAACAATTTTCCTAAGGTTTATAAATATATATATATATATATATATATATATATATATATATATATATATATATATATATATATATATATATATATATATATATATATATATATATATATATAAAGATTGAAATTATATCATAAAAATTAGATATCAGAGTAAAGTTTATAGTAAAAAACACTAACTTGCTTGGTATTCAGGGGCAGGGCCACTACCAGCAGCAGTAAAACCTGCAACACTCACACTGTAAATTGCATAATTAAGAAGGTCTCTTTGTTTGTAATATCGAGTGTATATGTCAAAGTCTAAAACAATTTTAGTTTTTTCTCCACTTATTTCTACTCCTGATCGATAACTTAAATAATATATGAGTCGATATCCAAGTAAAACTCCATTGACATACTCTGTTGGTATAGGTCTCCAAGATACAGACCACCAACTCGTTGATTGCATATCATTTACAACAAAATTTGGAACTGGAATAGAAGGTACTGGAAAAAAAACAAAACATAGTTTCGGGTAATTTAAGTTATTATACATGAAAAAATTTAATGACAAATGGTGCCCAAAGATGTGGTTATATTCTAAATATTCAAGTAAAAAAAAAAATTAACATTATCTCAAAACACAAACCTCCTTCAATTGTTTTACACATAGAGTATTGAACAGGACCATCACCATTTGCATTATATCCATAAACTTCAACAAGGTAAAGTGTATATGGTTTCAAATTTTTTATTGTGAAAGCATTAAAACCAAATTGAGCTTCAACTACTTGGTATGTTTCTTTTTTTGTGTAAATCTTGTATCTTATTCTATAACCAAGTATTTTACCATTACTATATTTCACTGGAATATCTGTCCACTCAATATAAATTTCTGTTGGATCTGTAGAATATGAATTTGCATAAGGAGGTGGTCGCTCTGGTGCTAAATATATATTATATATATATTTGATCATTAAGTGATATATATATATTTGATCATTAAGTATTTTAAATCATTTCTTAGTTGTCATTAAGTTTTTCCACAAAAAAGTGTCCAAAATAAAATTTAAAAAATACTTTTTTTTAATTAAAAGACTGCCACAAATAAAAATTCCAACCAATATATTCTACTATTTCACCTAAATAATTTTATACATTTACATTTACACACACTTACATACAATATTTTTAACTTTTACATATACACATATAAAATTAATATATACCATACATAGTTAAAGAAAGACAACCTAAGGAATTCTTTATTTATAATAAACAAACAATCTAGTTTTATATAATTACTATATAAATAAGAAAATTATACTGAGAACATATCACTAGTTTCGAAGCATTAACTATTTGTAAGCACCTAATGTTTTGAACAATTTGAAATTTGTATCAAATAAAAATAATTTCTCTGATAATCTATTTCATTTCATCATATTTGAAAATAATAGAAATTATAATTAATCTAAAACATGTATGCCAATTGCCAACAAATACAAAAAAATATAAAACTCTTTTTTCATCCTTGCTGTCTCTCACATTATTTAGTTACATTGTTAAGATGTCATGTCTTTGATATTGGTAAAAGCAACAGTTGCCTGATAAACCTCTTACTCATTCAAATTTTTAAACTGTACTAGTTTAAACATCATTTATAATTTTAAAAATCTTAGACTAAAAAAACAAAGTAATCAAAATACTTACGAAAAGATGATGTTTCAAAATAAAACAGGGTACTTGGCAAACCATTTCCAATACTTAAAGCAGTAAGCATGTATGCTTTATATTTATGAGATGTAATGAGATCAGGCAGAAACCCTAACGTTTTATTTGAATCTAAACCTCTCCATTCCCATGTTGAGTTTGCAGAAGTAATGTCTTTGTAATAAACATACAACCATGTGTCTGTTTTGTTAATACAAGCATCTCGCAACCATGATAACATCACAGTGTTTTTGTCATAAGATGCAACTGATATATTGTAAGGAGGAGGGCATGATACTAAAGATATTTAAAAAGTTTTTGTAAAAATTATTAGATAAAAAGTGTAACTTGTAAGCATTTTTTAAAAGGTTTTTTCAAAAATTTCGAGATTCCTTATATCAACCCTCTAGCTATGTGTACTTGTATCAACCCTCTAGCTGTGTGTATTTGTATCAACTCTCTAACTATGTGTACTCTGAACAAATAGTCAGAAAATTTGCATATATCAAACTTTATTAAATTGAATAATATAATAATTTAATAATTTTATAAAATTATTATATTATTTATATATTATTATATTATTTACTTATTATTGTATTATTTACATATTTTATATTATTTACATATTATTATATTATTTATATATATAAATAATCTTTTATTTAGAAACTTGCATAAGCAATATATGTTTAACTAATTTGAATATTGCGGATGGAATAGGATCAGTAGTCAGTGATGGACATTTGGATTGGATATGATGTTTGCATAAAGCCACTAAGATGGTACAATACATTTGTTGACACAATATTTAAAAATGGTAACTAGAACTTCAACTAGTTTATTCAGCAATTAATTGGATTTAGTAATAAATTTAAACCATAGTTAGATTGATTTTAATTAAAATCAAGCCAAAAGTGTTAATGTGGCTCCCATTTTGATGTATTTGTGTTGCTTATTGACATTAGAGAAGATGAAGGATGCAATTTCTGGTGGAAAAGAGTTGGCTTAAAATAAGGTGATAAATCTGTTGTTTTTTTTTTTTAAATCTTAGATTCCAACAAGGCTGCAAGCAACCACTATTAGAGTTGGAAGTTACTGGAAGAGAAAAGATGAAGTTTATAGAGCAAGATAATGATTGACTGATGAATTAAAATATTGCAAATTATATGGAAATTATATGAAAAAAAAAAAGCTATCAGAAAAGCAAGATGAAGGAAGCGAAATTCAAAAAACTGATGTTCGAGAAAAAACAAGACGATTAAGAGTTTTTGGAGAACTTAGGAACAGTCACAGAGAAAGGATGAGTCTTACCTGAATTATGAGTAACATGAGAATGAATTTTAGTAGATGGCACATAAGATACTAGCTCTTTAAAGCAGTGTCAAAAGAGTAAGAGAAGCAATATTATGACAATGTGATAATGGTTGGAGGTTGGGTACAAAAGCAGGTCCAACTATGTTTACAACGCGTTTTTGCACTTTTTCTAAATAAGATAGGGCATCATTAGAAGATCTGCCCCAGATATGACAACAGCATTTTAGATTTATAGAGATAAAGAATAGAATCCAGAGTAGGAAAGTGTAGAGCACGATAAAGAGATGCAACCTTAGCAAATGCTAATTTTGGAATTCGATATATGGTTTCCAAGAAAGATAGGAAATAAGATTTAAACCTAGAAGATAAAGGGTAGGTGACTCATTGAGTACATCCCCATTATAAATATAGAGAGATCTAAATTATTACAATAACAATTGGCTGAAAAAATATTGGTCTTTATCTGAATTAAGTTCACCAGCCACTGTAAGCCTCATGCTGTAGCAGAAGAGAAATCCTTTTAAAGCTCAAATACCCCCTCCAAGTAATTAGAGTGTGTTGGCTTCTTATCATGACAAGAAAAAATTGTAATCTGGAAGATCGTTAATGTAAATTAAAAAAAGTTTAGGGCCAAGGATTAAACGTTGAGGAACCCCTGAATTAACAGGATATGAAGAGTGCTGTCCCTTGAAAACAACTTTTATACTATGATTGGAAACAAAGGATTCAATATTCTTAAAGCTAATGAAGAAGACCAGCATGCCAAACTTTATCAAAAGCTTTAGAAATGTCAAGAGCGATAGCCTTGAATCTAGATCGAAAGATCGAAATCCATACTGATGATCAGAAAGTAAGTTATTAGATTCAAGATGAGAGATTAGGTGTTTGTTAATTAAAGATTCAAAAATCTTGCTTATAATAGGAAGAAGAATAATGAGATGTTACTTAGACAAGTCAGATCGCTCTCCAGAATTTTTGAAAATAGTGATAACAGATGCCACATTTCAGCATGCTTGAAAACAAGACTCCAATAAGCACTTGTTAAATAGTTTTGAAAGTATGGGGGAGAGCTCCAAAGAACACCTTTGCAAGACTACAACAGGTATGTTGTCTGGACTGCAAGCTGTAGAAGAGTATAGAAGTAGGAAATCACTTTAGATACAGAAGCTGGGATGATACGAATGTCAAACAATGGATCAACCTGTTTGTCGGCTATATCAGGTAAAACATAACTAGTGGAATCAAGAGATAATATTGATGAAAAGTTCTAGCAAAAATTTCAGCTTTGTCTTTAAGTGAGGTGACAAAATCTGAATTATACAAGAGAGGTGGAATATCAGACTTGCCCTTATTATTGATACTGTTAAAGATTCTTCAGAAGTCACAAGAGCATAATTTTTAAGATGAAATACGTGATTTCATGACCTGAGAATAGCTGGCTTCGGTGTTAGACAAAACCTTTTTACAATGGTTTCTAGCAATAGTAAACAGACATCTGTTTCCTGGAGAATTATTTTGCTGATAGATATGGAAGTAATGGTTTTGATTGGAAATTGCAGTAGCACAATGTTAGGAAAACCATGGAGTAGAGTGAAGCTTGACCTGGAATTGTCAAGAGGGAATAAAGGATTCCATGCCAGCCTGAATTTACAACGTTATGTAAGAAGAACATTTGTCAGCAGGAAAACCAAAGATTTCTACCTAAGGGGTATCACAAAGAAAATCACAGAAAGAGTCCCAGTCAGCTTTAAGGTAGTTGTAAGAAATACGATGATAGGGGGATTCTGATGATGAAGAAGAACAAAATAATAGTTTTAGAAAGATAAAACTGTGATCGGAAGCACCTAAGGGTGAATGTGAAGAAACTGAACACTGACTAAGATCAGAAAGACAACCTAGATCGAGTAGAAAAGGTAAACAATTCAGGTTGTTTTAAAGTGAATAGGAAAGTTGATTATTTGAGTTAGAGATTGAGAAAGACAAAAGTTAAGGGGCTTATTGCCAGCAGAGTCACTGATGCTAGAGTCAAGCCATTCAGTGTGATGAGCATTCAAGTCACCAGCAACAACGATATTGGTTGATGGATAAAGAGAGAGGGCTTGGTCAATTTGATCAGAAATAACATCAAAAAGAGTGCAGTCTTCAGATGAAGGAGAGCAATATAGAACAAAGAGAAAGGCGATAGAGTGAAGTGGTGCTAAACCAAAGCACAGTAAAGACTAGTCTGTGGATTCAAAACTAGTTTCCTGACAAATGGGTGAATTTTTACAAATTTAAATGCCCAATGAATTAAAAATACATCTGCGCCAGCCTAATAGATGAGGAAGGGGTGCGAGGCTGGTTAACAGATAGAATCTGTTTACCCTTAGGAGGCCTTCTACAAGACAGTAGCCGGATACACTTAATATCTGCCAAAGATGAGTATTTTTATTGAGACACCATCCCTAGCCTTTACATATATTAGGTAGAAAAAGCAACAACAATATTGTGATTAATGGCTTTTCAAGATTTCATCTACATTGAGAGTTTATTAGGTTTAAAATCTTGATTAATTGGAGATAATAGATGAGCCTAGCAATTTTAGTTTTGGAAAAATAACATTTGTAAGAACTATATCTATGCAAAAAAATTTACATGCAGTTACTATAGTTAGATTTACTATAGATATATAAGGTACTATAGTTTATTTGTTATAAGTGGTGTTGCATAGTGACTTAACATCACATCCTAATCAGAGATTTTAAAGGTGGAGCATTTTTGACAAGTTAGTTGTCATTCTGGTATATAAATGGCAGCCATTAGACAAAAGAGTATCCACTCTTATATTTTGGTCTAAAAGGGGTGACAAAAGGATTTAGAGTGATTTTACTAGGGATTATAGAACTTTAATTGAATTATTAGAATAAGTTGTTGCTAATTTTGTGTAGGTGATAGATAAAAGTTCAGAGTTACTCTGTTTGGTCTATAAAGCTTTTTTTTTTTTTAATTATTCACCTTTCCAAGGCCCGAGGGGGCCACTACAGTCGAGGAGGCTACTCATTTTTTTGTTTTTGTTTTTATTTCTTTGTTTTTTTTTGTTGTAAACCGTGGTACAACCCTCTCTCAACTCTTTAACTCCGAAACAAGAACCTTGACAAACAAGAGAAATTAAGCGCGGAGAAATTAAGTTGAGCACGGTACTTCCAGGGACGTGGTGGGAGTCGAAGCTTTGGAAGATTTACTATTTCTATAATACTCTGTGAGCATGATGGATAAAATAGAGTTTAAGACATAGATATATGGCTGCTCATCTTTGGAAATTTGAGGAAACATATAACTTTAGTACATTTGTGAATGACACTTTGAAATGGCTTATCTAGAGTATTATCTAGAGAATATATATATATATATATATATATATATATATATATATATATATATATATATATATATATATATATATATATATATATATATATATATATATATATATATATATATATATATATATATATATATATATATATATATATACTGTGGCGCTCAAAAGTGAGTTGACAGGCTGTATTGCGATCAAAAACCAAAAAGAAAAGCAAAAATTGCAAAATTCCCTTCGAGGTACAGTTACTTTTTAAAAGTATTACAAAAATAGAAAAAAATATCAAGATTTATAAATTGGGCTAAATCCAAAAGTCTGTTGACAAGTATTTTTTTAATATATAGTTACCGGTAAGTTAATGAAATAAGTAGAATAATAGCCTAATTAAGTTAAATAATATTCTAAATAAGCATTTTAAATGTCACTTTTTGTTTTGAACAGCATATTGACTAACTAAACTTTTTTGAGAAGGCACACCGTGAAACTTCAACTGATACCAGGATTGAAATTTATTGTTTAATTAAGGAGGAAGAAAATTCATTGAGAGAAATAGCAAAAATATTTGGATTGAGTGTGGAAGGTGTAAGGATGATCGTTAAGCAAATGAAGCAAAAAACAGCAGAAAATTCAATTAGATCAGGTTGACCAAGAAAGAAAACTGCAAGAGATAATAGACTGATTGTTAGAACATCAATTGAAACGCCAAACATAAATTCATCTCCATAAATAGTTGAAGAAAGAGGCTGGCCTTTGCTAAAATGCATATAAAGTTGCCACTCAAGTCTGGAAATCTGTAATTTGGACAGACAAATGCAAGTTTGAACTCCATTCAACAAAGAGAAGAAGAACAGTCTTCAAAAAAAAGAATGAGGAGTTTTTAATGCAACATATGATAACTACAGTCAAGTTTGGTGTTGGGTCGGTAATGCTGTGTGGTTCTATTTCATTGAACGGCCTTGGTATTATTGAGTTGATCAATGGTAAAATGATGAAAGATGTTTATCTCGACATTGTACAGCAAAACGTCTTTGCTTCTGCAGCAAAATTAAAGATCGAGGACAATTTTATCTGGTAGGAGGATAATGGTCCAAAACATACAGCAAAGATTGTCAAGATTGGTTCCCGGATCATAAAATTTCAAGTTCAATTTGCCTGCTCAATCACCAGATTTAAATATAATCGAAAATATATGAGAATACTTGAATAGAACTTTTCCTTAAAACGTAAGAAAGACAAAAAATGACATGTTTGCCACAATCAAACGTCATTTGGAAGAAATTGACATTTAATTTAATTTAGAAATTAGTACTTTCGATAGACATAATTTAATTTAGAAATTAGTACTTTCGATACCAAAATGCTTGCAAGCAGTTATTGATGCTAAAGACAGATCAACAAAATATTAAATGGATTGCGTTTGCACCAAAATAACAAAACTATTTTGTTTAAATTATGTTCTTATCACTGTCAACAAACTTTTTACGTTTTACCTATTTTTACGTTTGGCACCTTTTTACGTTTTACCTATTTATTTATAGTTCCGACGTTAATCGATTGCTGTTCTATTTTTATTTCAAACATTCTATTTGTTTTCTATTAAACTAAATATTTTCTACCCATAAATATTTTTTCATTTATAAAATAATGCCTAAATATTCACTTTTTTTAAATGTCAACTTACTTTTGAGCATCACTGTATTTATATATATATATATATATATATATATATATATATATATATATATATATATATATATATATATATATATATATATATATATATATATATATATGGTTGAGAACAAGGTAAACATCAATATTTTTGGAACTTTTATTTTGTAATTTGGGTTTTTTAATTTACAGAAAAATATATTTCAATAAACTGATTTAACTAAATGAAACTATATTAATGTCTATATATAATGGATATATAATGTCTATATATAATGTCTATATATAACGGATATATAATGTCTATATATAATGTCTATATATAACGGAGTGTCTATATATAATGGATGTTAAATTATGGTTTTATTTTTAACAAAACTCTATAAAAAAAGTAAATGCCACTTAAATATAAATTTCATTTTGGTTTAAAGTATTATCTTAATTTAATTTAAGTTTCAAATAATTTTGTAATAGATGGTCACACAATGGCTTAAACAATTTTTCAGAAACATTTTAAAATTCATTAAATTTTAACTTTAAATACATTTGCATATGTCTTTATAGTACTTCTGTACATACTTAACATATATGGATGTAATAATAACTTACCATCATCTGAAGAGTAGTACTGGGTTCTCTCTATACTAATGTTAGTTATTTTTCCTGCTTGATTGATTCCATCAATGAAGAGAATCATTTGATCATACAAATAATCAAATGTTAATGTGTAATATACAATAACACTCCCAGCTCTGTATAAAAAATTGAAAAAAATGTTAGTAAAACTAGCAAAATTTTACACACTTGGCAAAACCTGCTTATCATAATTTATACTATCATTTAGCAAACAAAAAAACTTACTTTAGCCGGGTTACTTCAACTCTATTAAAACCATTTATGCTGTTGTTATAGAAGTACTCGTAAATCTAAATATAAATGACATAAACTCAACTTTTAAACCTCTTATGCAAAGTTTAGCACACTAAATATTCCAGGACACAATACCACTTGTTTAGATTAAGATAATTTAATGATTTATTTACCTGTTTACAATCTATATTCAAACAAATTACATTACACTACAAATATAAAATCTAAACATACTGTTTCTAATTCACATTTGCTGAAACAATCTTTTCTAAAAAGTCTAATGTTATTGTTGGTTGTATTTATAAACACCCTTGCATAGATATCAATGTTTTGATATCAATGCACAGATGTCTGTCCTTCTTCAAAATATATCTACTAAAAATAAACCTGCTTTTTTAGCTAATGACTTTAATCATATAATATTAATTGATAATATCATATAATAATAATTGATAATATTGATAATTAATAAAATAATTAATAAATAATATATAATAACTATAATATAATAATTAATAAAATAAAATATATAATAATTAATAAAATAAAATAAAAATAATTGATAATTAATTGATAATATCATATAATAATAATTAATCATATAATAATAATTGATACAATCAAATAATGACATAGTGATAATTTTTGAAACTTTATTTTTTTATTTATAACATTCGACTAACAAGAGTTACTGGCCACTCTTATACATTGATAATAATTTTTTTGATATAGCAACTAATGAAATTATTTCAGGAAATTCAACAACCTCTGTTTCTGATCAAGAAACAGAGGTTGTTGAATTTCCTGAAATAATTTCAATCGCTGCTATATCAGAAAAAGTATTATCAATGTATAAGAGTGGCCAGTAACTCTTGTTATCTTAATTTTGTATTTGTCCCAATTTTTATAAACTAATTATACCGGGAACACAACTTATACAATAAGAATTTTAAAAATTTGAATAAAAAAAACTTTAAATCTAAATTACCAAAAATCGACTGGAATGATGTTATAAAGTCATATGATTCTAAAACTTATGTTTCCAAATGTTTAATACTGAAACAACAATGATTTTAGATTGCAATACAAATAAAAGTTTTTTAGAGCATGCAGGGGCAGATACAGTAAAAGAATGAGACTTTGCTGAATGAAAAGTTAAGCAAGAATGAGTTTTGGTTAATGGAACTAGAGATTATAGCTCTTTTGAGCAGTCACCATGGTTGCTATCATGGCTGCATAGTGGCACTACTTTCCTCCACATTTGTAAGAAAATGTGAAAAGAACAGACATGACACTTTCCATATGTTGAAATTCCCTACCACTTTGTTTTTTCATTGTAAATATTGGAGTCGGAAAGCTAATAAGAGGTTCACATCCTTAAAAATTGATTTCTTTTTTTTGTAAATAAATTTTTGTTTTTATATTTGTTAATGAATTTTGTTGAAAATATATACATTTTGTTCCTTATTTATAGCAATTAAAAATTTATTTTTTTTAAATAAATTTTATTTAAAAGATATACATGGTGACATACTTGTATATACTTTGTAACATACTTGTATTTTGTTAATTAGTAAGTAAATTTTGTTAAAAAGATATATATTTAGTTCCTTTGTTTAATAATTTATATTTTGTTAGTTTTAAAAAAACTTTTGTTGAAAATATTTTGTAATAATTATTTTGATAAAAGTAGTTATATAAAGTGTTATAATTTAGGTTTTATAAAATTTTATTTAATTATTTTTGTCTAGAAAATGTTTTGATTTTTAAAAATTAAAACTTATTAATGTGAGGCATATACTAATTATTTAGTAGGTGCCTTCTAATTTTTTTAATGTGTGCTTTATGGATGTGACTTTATTTTATTTTAAATTTGTTAAAACTTTAATAGTTTTTTTAATCAATTATTAATAATAACTAATTATTAATATTTACTACTTTGAATGAATAACTCAGTTATAAAGATTAAATCATTTTACTTATAACTTTAATTCTTAATAAAAATATGTTGTTTTTACACATCTTTTTTAAGTTATTTATGACACAGGATTAATACATCTATTTATCTTTAATTATTAATTAATATTTAAAAATAAATTTATTTAATTAGATTATTACACGCTGTCTTATTTGCTTAGTTTTTTTAGATTAGTTTAAGAGAGAAAACAATAAAAGTTTAACTTTTTTCATATTAAGCATCATTTTTACATTTATTGTGGATGCTTAATCATGTCAAATAACTTTAGAAGTAAAGTTACAAGAAATTAGGTTAGACGAGCTGAAATAAATTGGTGCTGAAATGAAAGAAATGACCCTACGTGAGTGAAGCCTAGGTGAGCCTAGTTGAGCTGAAATAGATCATCTCCAAAATGAAAGAAATCAAGTTAGGTGAGAACTCATTACACAATATAATAATAACTACCTCGAAGAATTAAAATATATTTGTGAATATTGCAGTGCAGTGAAACTTTTTAATCAAACATATTTTTGTGTCTTTGCTGCTTTTCAAGAAAGGTTGTATTAGGTCCTTTTTTGCCATATCCACCATTGTTGACTGATCTAATGCAGGAAACCATGTTGATCATGGTGTAAATCAAAATTTTTTTAAACACATACAGAGTTACATTTTTACTTTATTTTTTGCTTTTCATTTTTCTAATATAATGCAGAAAATTTTTATCATTTTATAAATTTAAATGCCTGATAAAAGTGTTCTACCTACATACTGTTAGATTCTATGCTCCTATGAAACAATGTCATTCAGAATGAAACAACTTGGTAATGATGGTTGTATACATAAGTTGATGCAACTCTAATTAATCAAGGACACTCTAATTAATCAAGAAAACCTTTTTGGTTTTGCATTTAAAAACATGGCAGAAATTCTAGATGAAGGAATGCCAAGCAGTTTTAGTAGATAAGCCAACTTCTTAAACCTATCCTTTTACGGAATACTGTTGCCATATCTGGGGCAGATCTTCCAATCATGCCCTTACTCTTTTAGACAAGGTACAAAAATGCATTGTTAACATAGTTGGATCTGCTCTGGAGTTGATCACAGCCAACCTCCAACCATTATCATATCATTGTAACATTGGTTCTCTTTCTCTTTTCTATAAATACTATAATGGGCACTGCTTTTAAGAGCTAGCGTCTCTTGTGCCATCTACTAAAATTCATTTTTGTGTTACTCTTCATTCTATTAAGTTTCTATTAAGTTTCTTTTCATCCTTTTACTGTGATTGTTCCTAAGTGCTCTAAAAATTATTATTTGTCCAGTTTTATACCTTAAGCATCAGTTCTTTGGAATTCGCTTCCTACATCTTGCTTTCTTAATATATATGATTTGCAATATTTTAATTTGTCTGTCAATCGTTATCTTGTTCTATAAACTTCATCTTTTCTCTTCCAGTAACTTTCAACTCTAATAGTGGTTGCTTCCAGCCTTGTTGAAAGTGAAGATGTGAAAAAAGAAAAAAATTTTTTTTTGTCAATATGTCTTGGCTTGAAGGTCACAAGGAGTTGATGCAATCTTCTTTTACATAAGAAAGTTGCAATTTTGTTTTTGGGAGATAATGGTGCATTCCTAAAAATCTTTATATACCCTCAAGGTTTCAGAGTATTTTCAGAGCTTTTGAGAGTATCATCTATGTCTGCCATTTCAAACATTCAGTCCTGTATATTATGGTAAGAAACATGTATAGCAATATGCCCTTGATGCATGACTTAAATTTAAAAGAAATAGTAGAAAATTTAAACCCAGGCAAAAGTGCCGAAGACAAACCTGATTTACTTTGTTGTGTATATAAAATGAAATTAAAATCCTTTTTAAATTTTTAAACAGGGATTCTTAGTCAAAGTTTTTAGTCATGTACAAATTATTTACTTTGTAAATAATGTAAAGCTAAAAACAGGAGAGGATTTTTATAGTTTGATACCAGCAGAAATTCCAAACCCAACTGTTGATCCTGAACTTCATGATTATAAAATTATGCATGATTCATGATTCATAGACCATTCAGAATTTTAAATCCTAATTTTCCCTTGCTGAATATGGAAATGAAAAAAAATTTCCTAAAAAATTTGTTTCTCGTAGTGTTCCAATTTTTTATGGTACAGACATGTTGATGACAGGAGAGTAGTCATTATAAAAAATAAGTTGATAACTTTTGGGTTGTACCATATAACTCATCTAAAAAATACCAAGAGAACATAAAAGCTAGCATGACCATTAAGTTGGTTAAGCATTTATACAAGTATTCATATAAGTATATTTACAAGGAGCATGACAACCTTTATGTGTTATTGTCATGTCTCATCTACTGTTGCATCGTGGCAAATTTAAGTATTTGTTAAATGAAATGACACATAACATCATTCTGCTTTAAAATCAACTACCAAATGATTTATTTTTTTAAAAGAGGACATCTTAAACTATGCAGTTAGATAAGTATGATTCTAATATTAATATTGGAATCGGAAAGCTAAGCAAAGAGGTAATAAGTTGATTGTAAGGTTGTACAAAGTTAGTTTAACAAGTGAAGTACTTTTTCAGTGTGGCAGCAAGTTGTGCAGTGTCTTTTGAGGATTTGCAAACTGCTGATAGTATAGCTTTTAATATGTTTTGTTAACAAATTTCTCAATTAGATCTATTGTAATAGGAAAACATGTTAACTGATATTGTTGCAAATCAGATGCTCAAACAAATTAGACAACTATTTTTCATTATTTTAACTTTCTATGAACCAAATGATCCATTATATATTTGCAACATCTATAAAGATTTCATGATCAAATCTATTATTAGCCAGAGTGGTTAAACCTTAGCTGATTTTAATATTCCTACTTTAGCTTTTATGTCCCAATAAAAAATGACAGCAAATATGTTCAGGTGATGATGAAGCAAATTGAGTTATTAAATAATAACTAATGCCATTTTGCTGATGTTAATAAGTGAACAATCTAATAATGAAAATAAAGTGTCCTGATTGTTTTTTATGGATGGTCCTGCTGTTTAAGGTAAGACATTTAATGGTGCTCATTTGAAATCTGTAATAATTTTAAGTGGTTATAATACCATAAACATTTTTTTTAAAAATCAAAATGTTTTAAAAATGATTTACTAATGAATTACTAGAATACTAATAAATTACTATTAATGATAAAAAAATACTAATGATATACTAATAAATTATCTAAGACTTTTTAGATAATTTATTAGTAAAAAAATTGTTTTTCAATAATGCTTTTTTTTTTAAATAGAATTTAGTTTTAATTTTATTTTGAAAGATGCTGTACAAGATTTTGGTCAAATTTCTTAAAACAATACTCTATCCTTCTCTTAAGCAATACACCATTAATCTTTTCTTAAAACAATACTCTATCCTTCTCTTAAGCAATACACCATTAATCTTTTTAAACTAATTCTTTAATAATTGACCCTAAAAACATCAATTAGATCTGACTCTTGAACATTGGCAGGATTATCTTTTATTGGCACAAAAACTACGTTTTCTTCTTTAAAGTTATCTTGCACAGATTTAGCAGAGAAGAAACAAGGTCCAGCCAAAATACATGGATAGTAGGAATAATTGTTTTTTTTATAAAAAACATTAATTTTTTAATACAATCTTTTAACTATATTTTATTGATTTATTGCTACAATGTTTCTTCAGATCAAAACTTTTGATACACCTTTACAAGAAAAAGCTACCCAGGCTAAAAATTTTGGTTTGTACTTAGATTTTTTTATAATATTTAAAAGTAGAAGGACACCCTTTAATGTTGTTTTTATAAAAACTATTGTTTCTGTTGATTGCTGAATGAGAAAGTGTAAAGTAAGACTCATTAAAAATTCACCATGTTTTTCCTTCACATCTGCAGCTAATCAGTTCTACCTGGAATCTTCATTCTTTCTTTTAATATTTGACTTTTTTTAGAATAACTTAATGAGCATATGAAGCTGAAATTCTGAAGATACATCACAAAAGAATTCGCATTACAAAAGAACTCTATCATGCTGATCAAGCATCAACATTATTGATTCAAATTTTTTTGAGGCATCTTAATATCTTTCATACTATTAAAATGCATCAGAATACTATTAAAATGCTTCAAAATGTTATTAAAATGCATCAGAATGCTATTAAAATGCAATCAAACTTTTCTCTGTGTTGCTTGTTCAAAAACAATGTATCTACGTTAGGCACAGTAGAGAAAGTGTTTAGTGTGGCAATGTGTAAATGCTATGAGTATGAGAAACTTGATTTTTATTGATGAAATTTAAGGATTGGCATGTCTAATTGAACATTCTGACAAAAAAAATTTTTAACATGTGATGTGCATAAGTAAATAATGTCTTTCTTTGATATAGGTGAACAAAATTGATCGATGTCATGTTAATTTAAAAATAAATGTGTTTAAAAATTTTGTATTTTTTTAATATTTTTTAATATTTTTGTATTTTGTATATTTTTTAAATAAAAATATATATTTATATAAGTAAACATTATTTTATTTTGCATTTTATTTAAATTATTAAACACACCTTTTCCTACCTATTGTTATTAGAAGTTAAGAAGATAAGAAGTATTGAACATTACTTAAGTCAAGTTTTTAAATGATTTATCTTTCTATTGTTTACTAAAAATTACTAAAAGTAAAAAGAATAAGTACAGAAATGTTTGTGGAGCACACTTACCATGATTTTAGTATACATTAATAAAGTACTACCTGTTCCAGTCCGAACAGGTAGTACTATATTAATAATTTAATGGAAAATAACTAAAAATAACATTTTTGATTAATAAAATTTAAAATTAAAAGACCATTTTTATATTACTACAAAGATTATTGCTAAAGCACCTAATTTAAGTCAATACATAAATTTCAAAGTATTTTAAAGGTTTAAAGTGGAAATTTTAGATTATTTTAGTTTTCAGGCAATCATGAAAACTAACATCAACTGTTTTCTGTGATTTTAGTTAAATTACAGTATCAAACCTAAGGCTAAACTAAAAACTAAAATTAAAACACTAATTTAAAAAAATCTTACAGATTCTTTAAACCGCTGAGCAAACGTCTGACCTTCTTTTGAATTAATATCATACATTCTCCAGTCCCAAGTTTCCAGTGTTCTCAGTGTCAAATCCACTTGAATAGCTTTTGGTAATAATTAATTTAATACTTTAAATTAAATTCTATAGTAAATCTAAGTTTATTACTTAATAGTTTATTAAATAAATAAAAAGCAACATATATAAAATAGGGTAGTATTTTAGTCAAATAGACCTGAGATCTACTTTTTTCATTTCGCAGCTGCCATGTTGATCAAGACACAAATATTGGAGTTATAGAGTTTATATAGAATTAAAAAATGAATAAAAAAAAAATAAAAAAAAAGTAACATTGCTGAAATGCAGATATATATATATACATATTATGCAGATAGGATTAAATGCATTTTCCTCCAGAAAATGCATTTAAACTTAAATTAAAATCATAAATAATAACTCATAAGTTTATTTTTATATATGAAATTTATGTACATACATGTGCAATTTTGAAGGTAACACGGCATTATCATTATATCACTGCCATTGCAATCTTTTCCCCTCAGCGCAGGAACAGGATTGTTGCAGTAACGTCGACTAATGCTTACTCCTTCTCCACATGGTCTACTGCATATTGACCATTCAGTCCAGTTTGAGTAACCACCATCAACTAGATCAAAAAATATTTCTGAAACTATTTATTCTACTTTTATTGTATTATATATTTCTATCATATACATTTTTAAATGCATATATATAAAGGTATATATTTCTATCAAACTCATGCGTGTTCTAGTTTTGATTCAGTATGTCACTTTTTCCTACGTAAGGTAGAGCGGGGGATATCGGGATTTTTTTTTTTTTTTTAATAAAACATTATTTTGTGTTAAAATGCTAGTTAATATTCTAAATTTATTATAAAACATTATTTTGTGTTAAAATGCTAGGTAATATTCTAAATTTATTATAATACATTATTTTGTATTAAAATGCTAGGTAATATTCTAAATTTATTATAATACATTATTTTGTGTTAAAATGCTAGGTAATATTCTAAATTTATTATTAATATAATAATAATTAGGTAATATTAAATTTATTTATTATAAAACATTATTTTGTGTTAAAATGCTAGTTAATATTCTAAATTTATTATAAATATAATAACAAGTATCATAGATTTATTTTTAAATTAATTATTCCTGCGTTTTTATCTTTCAGATTCAGATTTTTTCATTTTAGATTTCAATTCCTTCAAAATAAAAAAATCTAGAAATCTTGGAGGTCCTAGAAAGTTCAATCAAAATGACTTTTCATTATTATCTTCAGCAATTGATCTGCAACGAGAAAAAAAACTAGTTTATAAAAAAGATCAATTTATCAATGCAGGAAACTTTTTCTGAAGTTGCTCATAAAATTTTGGAATGTTGGTTTATTTCTAACACAGTTTAAATAGCCTATGTCTGTGGTACTAAAGTTATAGAACTATAACTTAGTAGAGATTGGTCTGGATTCTCTAAGATTCAAAAAGTAAAAGAAAAAAAAAAAAAACACAAAGGCAACTTAAACTTCCAGACTTTTTGTAAATGCAGAATACTTTACTGCAGTGAGAATGTCCCTTGCAAAGAATCTTCTGATGACCATGCTCATTGCTTTAAATATGACTTAAATCTAAGAATTTTACAAAAAAAGATTACTTGGATTGAAATCTAGCAAGAAAAATAAAGAAGTGTTTTATCTATGCAAGAGTTTGGTTAGAATGTTAAAGAAACTGCCAAGCTTATGATCAAAAACTTGCACAAGTCAATTAATCAAGCAAGACTCAACTAACAAAGTTATTGATGGGTAAAAATAAAATATTATTCAGTTGGACTCAACATTAGAAAAACAAGAAAATTATCTTAAGCAAAACTACCTTGATATCAGTAATTTTGCCATTGCTTCTGTCAGATTCGACTGTTTCAGTAGACCATCAATGACACTGTTGCTATCATTGATGGTCTACTGAAATATACTATAAAGGCAGGGAAATTTTCTAAAAATAAAAAAACAATGTCATGTGATAGCATGAATGTTTTTTGTGCCAAAGAATGCGCAATAACGTTTTAAGAGTATAAGAGTAGAGAAAAACTTTGATTCTGAAAGCAATTTAATATCTGGATTTTTCGTTGATGGTTAAAAAGATAAAACTTTTATTTTTATGCTCTCAAGAAACTTTTCAAAAGTTAAAAAAAGAAAACCTTATAACTGTGACAGAAGAGCATAGAAGTTGCTATCTTAATTATCATACACAAGAGCCTAAATAAGAAATGTGTAAACTAGACAAGCAACGGACTTTTTTTATCAAAGATCTCTAACTAATTGGCATTGATACTAGAAATGAAATGGAGTAAGGGAAAGATAAAATGCTTCATTTTAGCTAAAAACTTTGCAATTGATAACTTTTAAGATATGTTTGCTGGCTTCACATTAATGAGCTTCTATTTTGTCACATTGTGAAAAAACTTTATCGGCCAACTTCTTCAGATAAAGAAAGAGGTGGAGCAGTTAAAAAACTATTTTCTAAAGTCGCTATTCATGAAAGAATAAATTCACATTAATTCAAGTTACCTCTCCAAGAGCCTCTAGCTAATATTAGTGAAGATTTTTTTAAACAAATACCAGTTTAGTCGCATTGAAGTATTTGAATGAAATATTAAAAGCAAACTTTAATTCTGAAGAAACAGCTCTTAAATGCTGTAGATTATCTCACACTCAATGGCTAACTTGTGGCATGAGATGCCTGCTCACCTATAGGAGCAAGCATGATCATAAAGCTAAAACTGAAGAGATTTCAAGACTGCTTGCAACTTATGTAACACAGGTTTTTTTTTATCTTTAAATGTTTTTAAGATAAAAAAAAATTTAATGTCATGATTTACTTAAAAAGTTTTTAAGTAAATCATGACATTAAATACAGTTCTGGTCATCTTTTGAAGCTATTTTGACTTTAGAAGAAGAAAGATGGTAGTATTAAAGAAACATCTAAACCTTATCTAAAAAGTCAACCCTGGTGGTATCATCCTGAGAATATAGTTGTCACACTCATCAGTTCGAATAACTTAGAACAGAGGTTATTGCCATTGACATAATATTGGCAGCCAGGGCTAAAAGTGATCATGGCTCAACTAATTAAAGGCTAAGATTAAATCAGGGCTAAAAGTGATCATGGCTCAACTAACATTTTTAAGTTCCATAAAAAGTAAACCTTGATGCTTGTTTCATCAAAGTACTTAAAGATTTGAAAAAAAAATTTATTTTTAATTTGGTATTATTTTGTTCTTATTTGTCACTTATTAGTCAAGTAAAATATTAGTGGTTTTTAATAATTTTTTTGTATTTTTTTTTAAGAGGGAAAGAGAGGAGGAGGGGAGGGAGGGTAAGACAAATATTTTGAAAGAACAATGATAATTTTATCTGTTTTATTACTCATGGATTCTTTTTTCTTTATAAAGTTTTTATTTTTACTAATAATTGTCTAAAACTTTTTAAAAATTAAATCGTAATTTAAAAAGATTAATTTTTTAGAAATACAGTAACTTTTGAAACCCATTTCCCAATAGCTAAACATTACTTTACAAAAATATTATCAAAGTTGGATTCCCCATACCTAAATACATAGGATTCCAACTGAGCTAGCTAAAATTTTATAAAACATTTATATATATATACATACATAGATTTTATACATACATAGTTTTTGATTTCATTAAAATTTTAAATATGAGGATACCTTTGTCAAATTTTAATCCTAAAAAGTATTAATAAAGACAACTATACCTGGGCAAGGAAATGCATTGCACTCTGGTTTTTCATCTTTCTGAACTCCTTGACATGGTGTACCACTTCCAACTGTGGATGGATTGTTACAATCTCTAGTTCGAATTTGATAGCCATACCCACAAGTGGTATTGCATTCAGAATAATTTCCCCAACTTCCCCATTCTCCATCAACTAATAAAAAAAGAACAAATTAAATTAGAAATTTCAATATAATAAATATATTCATTCTAAATAAAAATTCAACAAAAAAAAATTCACAAATAATTAGTATTTTGAAAATATTTTTGAAATTTACATCATGAAAAAGAAAATACCTAGTAAAGAATGCAATGCCTTCAAAAATCAAAATAGAATAAAATACACTTTCAATTAAGATTAATTATTTTTTTCAAAAAATCCTCAAAAATAAAAATCACGTTTACTTCAATAATTTAGTCTGGTTTCTTTACAACTAATATGTCACTAACAAGTTATTGAAAGTAACTTGTTTTTAATAGTTTAGTTTCATCACATACAAAAAAATATTCATAAATAAGTTGCAGAGAGAGTCAGACTGTTTACTTGATTTAAATGATATAAGTAACTTGACTTAAATGATATAAGTAACTTGATTTAAATAATATATCTTGATTTAAGTGATATAAGTAACTTGATTTAAATAATATAACTTGATTTAAGTGATATAAGTAACTTGATTTAAGTGATATAAGTAACTTGATTTAAATAATATAACTTGATTTAAGTGATATAAGTAACTTGATTTAAGTGATATAAGTAACTTGATTTAAATAATATAAGTAACTTGATTTAAGTGATATAAGTAACTTGATTTAAGTGATATAAGTAACTTGATTTAAATAATATAAGTAACTTGATTTAAGTGATATAAGTAACTTGATTTAAGTGATATAAGTAACTTGATTTAAATAATATAACTTGATTTAAATGATATAAGTAACTTGATTTAAAATAATATATCTTGATTTAAGTGATATAAGTAACTTGATTTAAATAATATAACTTGATTTAAGTGATTTAAGTAATTTGGTTTAAATAATATAACTTGATTTAAGTGATATAAATAACTTGATTTAAATAATATAACTTGATTTAAGTGATATAAGTAACTTGATTTAAATGATATAAGTAACTTGATTTAAATAACATAACTTGATTTAAGTGATATAAGTAACTTGATTTAAGAGATATAAGTAACTTGATTTAAATAATATAATTTGATTTAAATAATATAATTTGATTTAAATGATATAAGTAACTTGACTTAAATGATATAAGTAACTTGATTTAAATAATATATCTTGATTTAAGTGATATAAGTAACTTGATTTAAATAATATAACTTGATTTAAGTGATATAAGTAACTTGATTTAAGTGATATAAGTAACTTGATTTAAATAATATAACTTGATTTAAGTGATATAAGTAACTTGATTTAAGTGATATAAGTAACTTGATTTAAATAATATAAGTAACTTGATTTAAGTGATATAAGTAACTTGATTTAAGTGATATAAGTAACTTGATTTAAATAATATAAGTAACTTGATTTAAGTGATATAAGTAACTTGATTTAAGTGATATAAGTAACTTGATTTAAATAATATAACTTGATTTAAATGATATAAGTAACTTGATTTAAAATAATATATCTTGATTTAAGTGATATAAGTAACTTGATTTAAATAATATAACTTGATTTAAGTGATTTAAGTAATTTGGTTTAAATAATATAACTTGATTTAAGTGATATAAATAACTTGATTTAAATAATATAACTTGATTTAAGTGATATAAGTAACTTGATTTAAATGATATAAGTAACTTGATTTAAATAACATAACTTGATTTAAGTGATATAAGTAACTTGATTTAAGAGATATAAGTAACTTGATTTAAATAATATAATTTGATTTAAATAATATAATTTGATTTAAATGATATAAGTAACTTGATTTAAATGATATAAGTAAAGTGCTAAATAGAATATATTAAGTTCTTGTACAAAAAAATTTTAAATTTAAAAATAAGCTTTTAAAAGGTTTAAATCTAAAAAGTTAAGTAATTTCCTTTTCGCATTAAAAGGCAGAAGGTAGTTGGTATTTAGGGACGCTATAATTTTAATGGATCAGTGTATGTAAAATCTATACAAACCAAAGTAACAAACAAATCTAAATAGAGACACTAAAAAAACTGGTTCTATCAGCAAACATGCTGATTAATTAAAGTAAATGGTGGCAGTTTTATCGATATACAAAAAGCATGCAGGGGATAAAACAGCTGCTCTGACAATTTTTTTTGCATCAATAATAAAAATTATTTTATATTGTATGTGTTAATACAACTAATATATAAAAAAGTAAGTCAGGGAAATTAATATATGTGCAACATTTAATACATAAACTTATTGATTAATAAAATTTACATTTTTAAACTTTAACTTCGGTATAAAATTTACGTAAGCAAACCAACAGATTTAATGGTTTAGAATGTGTTAAAAAAATTTAACCTGGACATAATGGAACATCGCAGACACGGGTTTCTTTCGAGTTTCCAGTACAAGTTCCTAGACAATTCCTCTTTCTGACTTGTACACTAGTGTTTCCACAAGTCTCTGAGCAAAAACTCCAATGAGCCCATTTTGTAAATCCATAATCATCTAAAAATGTTTAAAATTTATCTATTTTACATAAAAACATAACAATACTTTTAGAGTTAAACAATCATCAATTATTTTAATGATGAAAGAATTTTGAATTTGTTATAATCGAAAAAATCAAAAAATTAAATTACGTATTTCTACATAAACATTTTTTATTCTTTAAACATACAAAAAATCATAGTACAATAATATAAACAATTAAGTACAACAATAGAATAAATGATTAAAATCAATTATTGATTTAATAATAACAATGAATTATTAACAACTATGTAAGAAAATGATCTTACACACAAATATCAAACTTGTATAAAACAATGCATCTAATGAACATGGAACTAATACACATCCAATGAACATATAACACGAAAAACATTACCTGGACTGATACAATTACACAATCTGTGCATCTTTGGTTGATTAAAGGTGCTTTCACTCTCACAAGGAACTTCATCTGGAATATTAATGTAACCATGACAAACGCCTGTACTGTTGTCAAAACTAGGATCTAAATCAGATCTGTAGACTTTGTTAGCCAAACTAATTTTACATGTAATTGGTATAACTGCATCCAGAAAAAGAGATGTATCATTATATGGTTTTAAATAAAAAGGCGAACATATATAATTGTTACGAGAACATACAGCTGTGCAGTTTGTTTGACCTTCACTTCCCAAAACAAAGCCTTAATATAAATATAAAATATGTTGAGAATGGTTTTAGTAAAATAATTCTTAATTATAATTTACTTCAAATACAATTAAACATTTTAATATTTATAAATAATTTTACCTGAACACCTTGCCAGTTGACAAGGTGTGAACTCTAAGTTACTCCCAAAACAATCATAACCTCCGTCAGTATGTGGTGTGCAAATTCGTGTTCTTATCATCTTACCTTGATCACACGTCTTACTACAAGCTCCCCATTTTGACCACTCTAACCATTGCCCGTCAGCTAAAATTAAATATCAATAATAACGTTAATAAACAATCATGATAATTAGTTAGCAAAACTATAAACACGTACTGAATCCCATAGCACTTGCAAGAATATAGATCTTCTTTCCGCATCCTGCTTTATTGCATGCAGCAACACTAATATTGTGAGTGCTTCCACGATCTAAATCAGTTAAGTTGAACATAAGGACTAAAGGATTTGTGTGGTTGAAGCATACTTCTTTTCCAATGATGTTATTGTCTAATATCTGACTACGACAAATTATATATTGAGATATTATTCCATTACTCTTTTCAATAGGAACACGGCTCCAATTAACTGTTATGATTCTTACATTGTCACTTGAATATGATATTAAACTTGGTGCCTCTGAATCTAAATTAAATAATAATCTGCATAAAAGTTTAATAAAAAAAGTATCAAATTATTTTCTGGACAGCAACCTTATCCGCCAATGTTTTTATTTTGGAGTTAAAAAGTTGAGAGAGGGTTGTAACCACAATAAAGTAGCCTCCTCAACTGTTGTAGCCCTTTTGGCCTTATGGAATTGAAAAACATAAAAAAATTATTAATAAAGTTAGATAGAAATGATTAAATTTTTTCAAAAATTTTTTCAGGTTACACCATATGCTTATGGGGAAGACAAGCATTAAAGAATTTATCAAAGGCCTTAAATATTCCAAGGGCAGTAGTCTTTACCTAACTACTTCTATCCAATGTAAGAGTATTTCTGTTTTAATGGTTAAGAAATCACAGTACATAAAAAAAAAAACTTTATTGACTGCCAGAGAGAAAATTGTTGTATAATCGTTTGTTAATCATTTTAAAAAACTTTACCTAATAATAATAAGTTGATTGGGCAATAGATATAAGGGTTAGAGCAATCTTCAAAGTTTTTAAAATAAGGACTACATGTGCTATTTTACAGCAGCTAGGAAAACAAAATTCAGTTAAGCACTTATTTAATAGTTTAGAGTAAGAAAGTTCTCAAAAAGACTATTGTAAGACTGTAAAAGAAATGTTTTGGTACAGGATCTGTAAAAATGTTTACATGAGAAATAACTTTAACAATTAAAGCTGGAGTAATGTGAATAAATAAATGTTGATCTGTGTTTCTTTGGACTGACAGGGAAAGTGAAGTCATTAGTTTTAAGAGATGAAATAGAGGAAAGTATTTTTACAAGTAGTTCTGCCTTAACTTTGGGTGAGGCAATAGGCTCATGCGTGAGAGAAAATTTTAGACATTAATAACTATTAATAAAACATATTAATAACAATATTAAAGTTTTTTAAAAATTCTCTAAAACATAACTACTGATATTAAATAGATTTAGTAATGAAAATAACTGAAAGAAGAAAATTTTCTATTCCTGAATCCAAGAGATTACTTACAATATAACAAGAAGAATGAAAAAAGTGATTTAGTAAAGTGGTAAGTGATTTAGTGGTTTTAAGTTAAAGCACAAAAAAGAATAGTCATAGCATTCAAACCTGATTTTACATTGAATAGGTGAACATTAATTGGAGACTTAAATTAGAGTGCTAATTAAAGTATAATACCCATTACTCCTATTTTACAAAAATGAAACACATTTAAATTTATTTCACAAAAAGCAAGGAGATCTGGTGAATTTCGCAAGAGGTAAGTTTCTCTAGATAAAAAATTTACTCTGTAGACCACAAATAATTATAAAAGATAAATTGAAAGTATTTGGTGGTAATGATATTTTTTATGATTAGTTTTTTTTTTTAATATTTGAACCAAGCAGATAACATTTAACACTTGTTAAAAAATAATTGATGTTGTCTTATTTCTGCTTATCAACTCAAGGTCGTAAGAAAGATTGATGTGGCCTTGACAATGCACACTAAAAGAACTAACAAGAGCACTATCTCTGTTTAACACTGTTAATACTCTGATAATTTACGACTGTTAATGGAATCAGCTGTTGGAATAAGGTCTTCTTCAAAATAGTAGCTGGACGCAATTTACATTTGCCCCATATGATTTTTTTATTGAGATCTTTAACCTTTCTTATCCATGAACCATAAAGAAAGAAAGTATTTTAAGTCAGAGTTCATCACATAATATGGCAGGCGATACTGGATTATTTTTTACCAGTAGGAGGGATAATGCTTATGGTTCTGAACTAATGTGAAACATCAGGAACTATATAAAACACCAGAAACCAGAACTACAACTCCAGGTATTATGAAAAGTATTAGAAACCAGATGAAAAGTCAAAAACTACATTACAATTTGAATAAAAATATCATATTTTATATATATAAAATATATTTCTAAAATTTAAAATAATTTTCTAAAGCTTTCTCATTTTATAGATATATTGTACACGATTATTCCATATAATGCCTGCAACCTCAATATATACTACAGACATTTACACTTACAGACGTTTGTATGTAACGCTATACAAATGGAACTAAGAAGATTCTAGACCACTAAAAAAAGTCATAAAAAAAATTTCATTCTTATGATTATGATTAAAAACTAAAGAATAATATTAAACACTAATAAAGAAGTTAAGCTAAAAAAATTTTGCGCATTAGCGTCGGTTTGTGTCAAAATAAACCTTTATGCCTCAAGTTTCCTTTTGCATTTATCTTAAATTTTTTGACTAATTTTAATTATGTTGCAAACAATTGCATAAAAAGGTATAAAACTGGTACAGATATATCATTTCACGGATAAGAGTTTGTATTTATTACAATAGCAGTAAATAAATAGTTTTTGTCTTTATTAGAATATATCCCATATATATTCTAAATATATATATATCCCATATATATTCAAAATATATTCCATATATCTTTAATAAATGGAGTTTTTTTTTAAAATTTAAAATCTTATTTCTTGTTCGTTTTTCTTTGTCACATATGCAAAATGTGAAGTGATGTCACATGCGCAAAAATATTGTGGTTTTAACAATTTACAAAAAAGCCTCATCTATCGTTTTTTAAGGTCTAAGAAGCAGATGACTATATTTTAGTAATCAGAAATTATCAAAAGAGGGGCAAATCTAAAATTGGAGCTTTAAATTTTCCACTTGGATGTCTATATGTTTTGTGTTTTTTCAATTTTGTCAATTTTTTTAAGTATAATAACATACCTACAAAAAAAACAAAAAAAAAAAACAGTTTGAGAAAAATAGACTTGATATTATGAGAAAAGTTTACTTATATTACATACAATCCTGAATAAAACGTTATTTAAGTGGATTTTTTACATTTTATAAACAATATATATAAACAAATAACATATTTGTTTATATATCTCCAGACAACTTGTAACTTTTATAGGATAGCAATATTCTTATACTTCTTATAGGATTCCTAAAATTTTATTTGTCGTTCAAATCCATAGGATCATAAGAAATCCTGTGATTACCCTATAGGGTATCTTAAAGGATTCATAAGTATTTATTTGTCTTGCAAATCCTATAGGATCATAAGAAGTCCTAGTAGTGTGGGTAGCACAGGTTTTTACAGCATCTTAAAGGGTTTATAAACTTTTTTTGTGTTAAGTGCCTTACGGTTTTATCACAGAACACCACAGAAAAGCATTTAATAAGAAGTTTATGCTTCTCTCCTAACCAATGTAAATACTTGTACAGAGGTTGATTTTGAACTCCGGATCGTTAAAGTCTAATCCAAGCATGCAATCCACATTTTTTTTTATATCTCATGTTTTTTTTTGTTTATATGTGATGAATTTTTTTTGTTTATATGTGATGAATTTTTTTGTTAGAGTAATGCTTAATAAATTAATTTTTTTACAATTTTAGATTTTCAATTGAATTTTGTCATTTGCATAATATTTGTTGTTATTTGTGTTGTTGTTGCTTTTTATACATGCTGCTGTTCACTGTTGTTTATTTAATATATAAAACAAATAATATAGAGTTTAATATTGTTATAAGAAAAACTATTAAATATAAAAACAAAAAACATACAAAAACAACAGAAATATCATAATTTATAAAATAATATATTTCAATACTCACAATATTCTTCTGTAACAATTTGATAAGTATCACTCAAAGGACCATAACCAATTGAGTTAAAATATTGTAGCTCTACATTATACACAAATGATGGAAGCAAATTTTCAAACAAAATATTTACTGAACCACTGTACAAATCAATGGGACTAAAATAAAAATCAAACTCTTCAGAGTATGGTAAAGATCGATGTTGTAGTCTTGATGTTTCAAAAGTTGAGTTTGCTATAGAAATGTTTTTTATGGTTGCTTTAATGCCTAAAACTACACCATTCATCTCATAACGATCAGGAGGCAGTATAGTAAAACTTCCAGTAAAAGATGTCATATCAATGTTACGTGGCATTGGAACAGCATCAGGTTCTTAAATACATATTTAAAAAAAATACATTAATAAAAAATGGGAAATAAAAAAATGTTTTTGTATTTATAAAAGTAGAACTTTATTGAGTACTAGCAATAAATAAATATTGTACCAGCTTCAGGAGTGTAAATGCATTCATTAGAACTATAAGGTCCAGTTCCATTAATATTAACTGCTGCAACTTGACAACAAATTATCTCATAATTATGCAAATTAAAAAACATTACTGAAAGATCTGAAGTAATATTTTCCAGGGAGCCTGATTGTTCTCCTGAGCATTTAAGAGTGTAGCTTTCTAAAATTCCATTAGCACAACTATCATCTAGTGCATTCCATGATACAACCACAGCTACATCAGGTTCATTTTGTAAGTAAAGTGAGTTAGGTGAACAGCTTGGTATGTCAGAGTATGTTGTAAAAAACACAGGATTTGAAATGTTACCACAACCATATTCATTGCAGGGTTGAATTGAAACTTTATAACTTGTATAAGGATGTAATCCCATCAGAGTTAATTCATAATTAGTAGTTTGATTAAGAAATCTCAATAATTTGTCATCATCACATATTGCAGATTTTTCAGCATAGTCTTCAATTGCAAATTCAAAATTAAACATTATATTACGATAAGTTAATTCAATAGGTCCAGGATCATAACTTCCTGTAACATATACATCAAATAACCATGACTTTTTAACTCCTCTAAAATATGTAGGATCAAAACTATCAGGAAGAAAGATGGCTGTTCTTGGGTCAACAAGATAATATGCTTTAATAACTGGATTTACACAGTCTGGTTCTACAAATATTATATAAAAGTTTTTTTATCTTTTTTTTTTCTTAACAAAAAAGATTACAAAAATATAATCCTAAAACTTTGCAAATTAAAAAAAAAAAATTTCTAAAGTTCGGCAAATTTTTTTCTTTAAATTTATATAGAAATATGATCAGTTTAAAGATTAAATCTTACTCAAAGAGTTAATTAAAAAAATTAAAAAAATTAATTTATAAAAACACTTACTTGTAAGCGGACTAAGAAAACATATTTTAGGACTTGCAGGACCAAGTGCAACAGAATAGGCATTTACATAAGCAATGTAAACATGACATCGGGTTGCCTTTTTCAAAATGTATTGATTATTACTAACATTAATAGTATTAAAAGAATCAACTGCAATTGGTAATGAACTTTTTAACATTCCATAGCTTAAGTGGTAAGAACCTGGTGCTTTAACATCATTCCAGACATCAGTATCATTATCAAGAGATTGCCACTCAAATATAATTTCAGAGTTGTTGAAACTTGCAATTAAACCACCAGGTGCAATATCAGGTGCTTTAAAAATTAATAATAAAATACATGTAGTTGAACTGAATAATCATGATATGATAATCAATAATATTACTGATTATCATGATATTATAATCAATAATATTAATAATAATTATATAATATTATTTATTAATTTAATGTTTATACATAATGATATCTATAAATATTTATGATTTTTTTTCAAAATTATGCTGTTATGAATTAAGTATGTTTTAATAAAAATTAATAAAATTATACTGAATAACACAATATAATTAAAATTGCATTCAAAAGTTTTTTCATAATATTTAAAGCCAATTTTTAATTATAGCATTTTTTCTCAAAAAAATCATTTTAGTTATAACCAGTTTTGCTAATAACAAGTTCTTATAAAAATAAAAATTTAGTACTTAGCAGTGGATTAAATAAGTAAAGGATAAAAGATAAAAATATCAATTGATTGCAATTTATAATTTAGTTACCAGTGCTCTGAGTTCTAATAACAATAAAATTTGCAACACCAATTCCATTTCCACCTTGAGTTGTACCATAAGCAGTAATACATAGTTGTAAAAAATGATAATCAGAAGTATCAAAAATCACACTTAATTTTTCAGGGTTTGTTGTTGTAAGATTATAATATGTTATGATATAATGGTTTAATTTGCTAAAACAACAAAAAGTTGAAAAAAAGTAGTTGAAAATAAAATGTAGCAAATTTTCAAATTTTGAATCCAATTCAATTAATAACAACTGCAATTAAAAAAAAAATAGAATAAAATAAAAGAGCTAATTATTTTGAAAATTTAATGAAATAATAAAACGTAATATTAGAAATATAATACAAAATAGAATTAAAATTGTCTAAGGGTGGAATGCTAGAAGCAAACTTGAGTCAAGTTCGACTTGAACTTTATTTTGTAACCAATAGCGGCAGAGTATTTTTTGAGGGGAAAACCCATACTCTGTCGCTATTGGTTATAATGTAAAGTTCAAGTCGAGCTTGACTCAAGATTGCTTCTTGCATTCTACCCTAAGTTCAGTCACTTAAGCTTTGAACATTTATTTATCAAGCATAAATAAAAAATTTTTAATTTTTTTTCCTGAAATATACAGAAAATTATATTGATAACTGATATTGTAAAAAAAAAAAAAAATAAAAAATAAAAACTATTACTCAATATTTAACTTAAAATGAGAGCATCTACTTTGACCGTACTTTCAACACAAAACCATATGTTTGGCTGCTATATGAATACTAATAACGTATCACAAACATAACGTCACAAATAATAAAAACTAATTTTTAAATCTTGTTTTATTGTAAAATTATGATATATATTCAGGTAATACCAGTAACTAAGGAGGGTGTTGCCATGAGCTCAAAAAAAAAGGTCTTTTGGGGTACCAAAGAAGACAAGAAGGAGCATATAAAAAAAGCCTTTTTAAATATAAGTAGTAGCATTTTTACCTTATTTTTATTGTAATTAGTCAACAATTTTATTACTTTGGCCATTATCACATTTCCTACGCCGCTGGTTAATAAAATTAAATATATATATATATATTTTAATTTTTAATTTAATTTTTATTGGCAATTTTTGCACATATCCTTGATAGTAGAACAGCAAGATCCACCTAACTAATCATCACAGAATTCGCAACATATCCTTAATTGTTGTTGAGCTATTATTGTAAATACCTCGAAATAAAAGTCGCAAGCTTGATATTTTTTAGAACTCAAAGAACCATTAGTTAATTTTGAAATTATGAACAAATATTTTATTCAAATGAAATTACATAGTGTGCATCCTTTATAAAAATGTCAAGATTTACTGGTAAATTTACAGGTAAAGTTACCAGCAAATTTTACATTCGCAATACTTATTAACATTTAACAATATTACTGCTAATTGTCTCCTTCTTTGTTTATTTCAAAATTTCAATAATTTTTATAAAAAAAAAGCAGTTAATTTTTAAAAATTAATAATTTTTTTTTTGTAAATATAATTAATTTGGTGATTCTTAATTCTAAGATTAAATTTGATCATTTATTTTAATAACTTGCTTATTTTAGATTTTAATAGTATGTATTTTTTCAAATTGTTGTTTTGCTAAAGAATTATTTCAGCATTTAAACGTTACTATTTTTTTAATAGATTCATATTTTAGATAAATATTATTTGAGAAAAAAAAGTTTGTTCAATTTGAGTTTCGCATGCTATTTTTGATTTTTTTTCTTAAATGACCGAAGTTACATGGTGACCGAAGTTAGGAAATTTTATGGTATATACTTTTTTCTTTTTATTCTTCGCTATTTATATTTTTTTATGTTATTTTATGTAATTATTTATGCATTCATGTTAAAAATAAATTGCTTACAATTACAATTATAAAAGAGTTAACTATTTTAAAAATATTATAAAATAATAAAATGCAATATTATAAATATAGTATATATGCTGTTTTATTTCTATTTTTTGCTATTTACATTTTTAATATCGTACTTAAAATTAAAATTTAAACCTTTCTGTGTTATCACAATTATCATCTGGCAACTTTATTCTGTATACCAAGTTGTAGCTATATTGAACTCCTTTCCAATTTTGTGCATTTATTTTACCAATGTTGCATCTCATAGTTTTATTTGCTTGGTTAACTAAGCAATTTAAACTAGGAGACTGAACAGGTTCTAAAGTAAAAACATACTTTTTTAAATAAAAGAGTTTATTTAAAATTCAAAAACAAATTTAAAAAAGTATTTTACAATATGAATTCTTTATAACATATGCTGATAACATATTTATAATTGTAAATTGAACATAAATTAAAATTTCTGAATAAACCACTCAGTTTAAATGATTTATGTTATACTTATATGAGTTTATTAAAAAAACCCACTCACCCCTGAAAAGAGGTTAGTGTAAGGCTAAAAAAACTTATACACCAATCCTTGCCTAGTGTAATTTCTCACATCTAAGATGTCATTGTTGGCGGATGATACTACCTTTTATATGGTCTTGAAAAGAAGCCAACACTCTCTAATTACTTGGAGAAGGCATTTGAGCATAACTCTTTCTAATTTGGCATTATGAATAACTCTTACTTCCAATTTTTCTTGGAAACCATATATCAAATCCATTTCAAAATAAGCACCTGCTAAGGTTGCATAACTTATTCATGATCGCTAATTTCTTACTTAAGATTTTATTCTTTATCTCTATAAATCTCAAATCTGTCCTTGTATGGAATACTGTTGTCATATATGGAGCAGATTTTAAATGATGCCCTTTCTCTTTTAGAAAAGATGCAAAAACAAATTGTAAACATAGTTGGAACTGCTCTTGCAGCCAACCTCCAACCATTATCACATTGTTGTAATGTTGCTTCTCTTTCTCTTTTCTATAAATACTATAATGGGCACTGCTCTAAAGAGCTAGCATCTCTTTTGCCATCTACTACATTTTTATTCTTGTGTTACTTTTCATTCAATTAAGTCTCATCTTTTTAATGGGACTGATCCTAAGTGCTCCTAAAATTCTTATTTGTCTAGTTTTTTCCTCAAACATCAGTTCTTTAGAATTCACTCTCTTCGTCTTGTTTTCCTGATTCATATAATTTGAAATGTTTTTAAGTTGTCTGTTAATCATTATCTTGCTTTATAAACTTTGAATTTTTCTTTCAGTAACTTCTGACTCTAGTAGTGGTTGCTTGCAGCCTTGTTGAGAGTAAAGATGTTTTAAAAAAAGTGTTATATAAGTGAATTTTTTATATTTGCATATAACATATTTGTTTATTATATATTGTTTGTATATAATATAAAAATATATTGCACAGCTATAAAATTGTGCTTTTTTAGAGAACCTGCTAGGAAAGTGTTGATTAATTACAATTAGTATAAGAGATTTATAAAGCAAGCATGTTTAAACAAGTGGTATAATGCGCTATTATTTGTGTTGTTTTATGAGGGCTCAAATCTTCCCCTTAACACAATACATTTTCAATTTTTTTAATCTGGCCATATATGTTTATAGCAAAAAAATAAATATGGAAATAAGAAAGACTTTTAGTTTAAAAAAAAAATCAAGTTTTTGTTAGCTATAGGCTTTTTTTTTCCCCCCTCCACAGCAGCACTTTCTGGAGTAGCAGGAGAGGCCTATTAAATTTAATCTTTATTAAGTTTCAGACCATGATTTTTTTCAAACCATTTGCAGTTTATTAAAACTAGTTACTTGAGCACATTAATAACATAAGTAACTCTATCATGATATATGCCTAACAAATTTCTACCAATGTTTTGAGATTTTTTAGAAATTAAAAGCTTTTTTAATCATTTTCTCCCTTTCGTTTGTTATAGTATATAACACCTTTATATATGTTATATATAAAATATCTATAGAACTTTAAAAATTTTATAATATGAATTTTAAAAAATCAAAAAAGATTAAAAAAAAAAATCTGCAATAGTAAGGATTTGAACCACTGTAATTTAGTTCAGAAATGCTGCAGGCTAACCACTTTTGTTACTAAGGTGCATTGTTCAATATAATATTTAACACTATTTAGTAAACAAAAGACTTTATAAAATGGCAAATAAATGCTATAAATTAAAATAAAAGAGATAATGCCACAATCCTATTTTCAAGTAAAAACATAACTGTAAAACTTGATATATGTTTTAACATTACATAATCTGAAGCTTGCCTAAGTTAGATTTGCATACACTTTTGTTCACATTTTCTTATAAAAAAAAGTGCTGCAACTCTTTCTCACTATTACCTTGATTGCAATGGCTGCCAAGAATTCCATGTCAAACATGCTCAATTAAGCATTAAGTTGAGCATTATACAATATGATGTTAATACAAGTAAAGGTTTTACCGTTATCTATCTGCAATGCCATTTCCAAGAAATGGCATTGCAGATAGATAACCTTTTAGTCATACTCCTATTGTATACATAATAGCTTCAACTTTATTACATTACAGCTATAAAGACTCAGCTATAATTATAAATATAATTATAGCTGAGTCTTATAACTATACTCAACTATAAAGAACTTTTGACAATAATAATACTCAACTATACTTTTGACAACAATAATACTCAACTATAAAGAACTTTTACAATATAACTAAAAAGAACTTTTTACAAAGCAATTTAGTAAAAAAATAATAAATAAATGTTAAATGATATGGTAAAAACCTTAATAAAAAAGATTTTTAAATTTTCTATTAATAAAACATTTTAGAAAAATGGTTTAAAAAACAAACAAAAATAATTTCTTTATTAAAAAATTTATTTAAAAAAATATTGTTATTGTTAAATAGAAGTGTTAGCTTTACATAAAAGGCTTATCAAAATTGAGTAACAAACAACTTTCTTTTAAACTATGCAACTAAGCTTGTATAGCTTCAGAATCTATTAGGTGTAACACTTGATGCATAATAAAGAATTTAGCCTAAAACAATATGCAAGATGTATATTCACAATTTAAAAATTGCAACCATAATAAATAGATAATATTTACACTCTACTCGAAACCCATAAATTTAAAGATTTTTTTAGGTGGATTATACATGCATACATACATACATACATATATACATACATACATACATACAAAAATACATACACACATTATATACAGCACACGCATACAAACATTTAAATATATATATATATATATATACATATACGTGTATATATATATATACATATACGTGTATATATATATATATATATATATATATATATATATATACATATATATATGTATATATTTATATATATATATATATATATATATATATATATATATATATATATATATATATATATATATATATATATATATATATATATATATATATATATATATATTTGAAAATATAAATTAAAAAAAACCTCCTTCTGCAGTCCAAAATGATTTATTTTGTGTTTTGCACAAACTCATTTTCCTTCTGATTGTTGTAAACGCAAAACAAATATAATATTCAGTAAAAACTTTTAAAGGACTGATTATAATAAAATTTGTTTGATTAGACCAAATTTGGTTTGTGTCAGATCCATCTTTTTGATTCCATTGAATAAAAGCTGTACTGATAGGATATCTTACATCTTCAAAAAGGTTTAATGAAATCACAACAAATGTTTTACTTTGAAGAAGTACTTCATAAGTTGCTAATGTTGAGTAATATTCTAAAAAAATATTAGATAACCATTTTACTATAGATATATTATGTTTTATCTTTATTTTTCTTAGAATAATTTTATCAAAAGTTGTAAATAAGAAAATGAAAATTTATTTTTTATCATAGTTGATTCTGAATAACAAGTACAAGAGAATCTTGTGTAATGTAAACAAGATTTACAATACTTGTAGAAAAACAAGATTTATATTAATTGTAGAAAAACAAGATTTACATTACATGTAGAAAAGCAAGATTTACATTACATGTAGAAAAACAAGATTTACATTACATGTAGAGAGGATGTGGGATATTATAATAGACTTGTAACAGTCCAAATCAGTCTGGTCATAACACTTCACTAAAGAAATAATAGAGAATTCACAGAATTTAGATAACAAATACCTATATCTTAAGCAAAAAATAAAAAAATATATATTCAATATGGAAATCTGGGAAAATATTTTCACCATAGATAAAGATTATCATACATTTTTTTAATTTTTCACACTTTTTAACAATCATAATTTTAATTAAACTATATTATGCTTTAAAGTTTTTTTTTCACATATTAGCTATATCGTTATCTTCTGTGGCTCCTCCCACACTAGCAGAATAGCTCAGAGCTATGCTGCTAGTGTGGAAAGTTATTGATACCAATGCAATTTACACTGCTCCAGCACCTTTTGTATTTGTGTAATAATGAATTTTCTACGCATATACTAGTTTTTATTTGTTGATTTAAAAGCATCATTATTAAAGCACCATTTATTTTATACATCATTACAACCAGGAATATTAAATTTAAATTTTTTTTACCCTCAAAGTTTATAATATAATGATATGTAATTTACAAAAAGTTTGATTGACAGCTAACACTAGATCTGTTCTGGATGCAGCGCCCTATATCCCATGTTGCAATTCATGTTCAAAAACGGTTGAGTTTACTGCAGAAATATCTTTATTAGTGCACTTAACTGCCTGAGAGTAACAGCGTATACCAAAAATAAAATCAAACTAATGGTGTTGACGGTCTTAATTCACAATAGCTGCTAGCAATGGTGGTGGTTTGAAGTCAGCTGCAGTCCAGTCAATCATTATCATATTCAGCTTGATGCTTGACTGATCAAAAACACGCACAGAAGAACTACACAAATTACTTCTCAAAATAATTATCTTAACACAATAAAAATATTGCACAGAATCACCATTGTCACAAGCACAAGAAAGAAAAATGCTTTTGGATTAGAAAATGTAGTTGTTGTTTTGCAACACAGGTTCCAATGTTTTCCAATTTTCTGCTTCAAGCTCATGTAACTGTTTCATCAAGTAAAAAAGTTTTTTGCACAATCAGCACAAGAAGGATGACTTGATGTTGAACCATGAAGGAGCATAAACTTTACGATACAGCGTACAACTTTGTAGAGTAATGTGGACATTACTCTACAATAATGTGGACATTACTCTACAGTAATGTGGACATTACTCTGGACCTCTTTTGACATATGCAATCTTAAAACTCTGTTTACTTTTATCAGTCACCTAGCATGCCTTAAAATTTTTGGCATTTTTCTCTGTAAAGACATAACTTTTTCACTCTCAGTATAACCTTATTGCACTGCTAAGCATGCTCTAAGAAGATATTTCTGATCTGTACTTAGTTTGTTTTTAACCTTATGAGGTATATCTCAACCACTTTTTCTAGCATAGCTTTAAACTTTGAAATTGGTAAATCCTTGGGATCAAAGTCTAGTGCACTCATAACTGCACCACAGGAACTACTATGATTTCCTTTACATCATCTGTCACGAGCAGAAATTTATTTCCGAAATGCTGGTAATAATGCATTATTATGCAACAGGCAAACAAGCCAAGCAGAATTTTCGGATTCTGAAACAGGCAAACAAGCCAAATGGAATTTTTCACATTCTTCACCTGAGCCAATGAGCAAACCAGAAATAAAAAACCCCTTCATTGACAAATTAACAGAAAACTATGTCTCTTTCAGCCTGATTTCCACCTCATTGCAACAGATGATATTAACACTGACAAGAAACCTGGATGGCAAGATAAGGTAAGCTTTTTTAAAAAAAAAGTTTAAATACTATTTAAATTTTTAAATAACACAAAAAGTTACCTTAATTGCAAGTGGTTTCATACAAAAAATTTTTTTGTTATTATCCTAATATAAATATATATATAGAGGGGCTATTCCAGGAAAAAAATTTGGGCAGTGGTAACCCCATGCCCTGGAGAAATTTAGCAGAAATATTGCCAAATATCAGCTTTTTTTTGCAAATAAATAATTTTTGCCTTCAAAAACGTAAAAAAAAATATCCTCAATTTTTAATTTGGGTAGCGCCCAAATATGGTTGACGCTGTCAAAAATGGTCTATAACAGCCCCTGACATATGTGTGTGTGTGTGTGTGTGCGTGTGTGTGTGTGTGTGTGTGTGTGTGTGTGTCTATATATATATATATATATATATATATATATATATATATATATATATATATATATATATATATATATATATATATATATAGTTCTTATTTATTTAATAATAATATAAAATTCTTGTTTATTTAAAAAAAATTAAATGTTTATTTTAACCCTCTTATTTTAAATACCTAATCAAATATTAAATTGTATAAAACATAACAAGTTTAGTTAGTAAACAGCATTCAAAATGTCAAACAATTTAACTGCAACAACAACAAAAAAGAGACTTAAGGATGAATCTCAAGAATCATTAGGAACCAGGGATGTGGAGTCCCAAAAAGACTCCGTTTTATATTGCTACTTTTTTTAAGTCTGAAGTGTCCAGAAGCTTTAAACATGTTTGTTGACTTATGATCTGCTATAAGAAAATAATTTATGAGATTTAATGATTTGAAGCTTATTGTTTTTAAGTCCGAAGTCCTGGAGTCCCAGAGTCTTTGCGGCCATTATATTAAGGACTCCGGGTTCAAAAAATGACTGTTCCTCTTACCTAAAAGTCCTAAACTTAAAACTTACCTAAACTTTTTTCCTACTAGTAGCCCATAGACTTATTTATATTTTTAGAGCTCCTGGATACCAAAAACTTGGGAGAAGTAATCTTTTTGTGGCTTTCAACTTCGAAGTCCTTTTTGGGACTCCGCATCCCTGTTAGGAACAATATGTAAAATGCCAATAAATTGGCAAATAATAAAACAATACACCAGTTTGGAATAAGGCTGTAAAAATGTGAAAGGATGAATAAAGAAAATTTAATAAAGAAAATTTAAATGAAGATAAATGTTTAGAACTTTGGGCTAATTTGAATTTTCCAATAATAGACAAAAGAACAGTGCCAAGGATAATAGAAAAATTGATTAAAAAAGACAAGTAGAAATCAAAAAACCAGGGGTTATTAGATATAAAGAAAGAGGATAGACTTTGGTTGCATACCGAAGATAAAAAATTTTATTTAAAGCAATTAGAGAAATCTGGTAGAGTGGGATATACTGAAGCCTGATGATGAAATCTGGTAGAGTTTTATATAATGAAGCATGATGATCCTCAAACAATAACACCTTTTAAAGAAAATTAAAATTTGAAACGCTCCATCAATGCCATCAACTTCAATTCTGAATGAATACAGAGAGGAACACGAAGTGGTTAAGATAAATAAAAATAAAAAAGAGGTTAGACTAAAGCTAATGGTATTGAAGAATGAAAAGTCAGAGACAATTTTTGAAGGACTTCAAGAACTTTTGAATATAATTTGTTTAGCAGCACTTCACTCTATTGCCTTTCTCTTTGTTTTATATTGCTCTCCTTCATCTCAAGACTGCACTCTTTTTAATGTTACTTCTGTCTCTTTCATCTCAAGACTGCTTTTTTTTAAATGTTATTTCTGATCAAATTGAGCAAGATCTTTCTCTTCATACTTCCTGCCAACAAATGTGCTTCTTACATATCTTGGATTCAGGCTGGAATGGAATCTTTTATTCCCTCTTGATAATTGTAAGTCAAGCCTCACTCTTCTCCATAGTTTTCCTCAAATTGTCTAACTATTGCTTCAATCTGACTTGTCTAACTATTGCTTCATTAGTCTTCTTTCTATTATAAGCAAGGTTTTTGAATCTTTAATTAACAAACAATCTTTCATATTGAATCTAATAACTTACTTTCTAATCACATGGATTTCGATCTTTTTCTTCTACAACTGATCTGCTAACAGTAATAACTGATAGGTTTTATTGTGCATTAGATAGAGGTGAAGAGGTTAAGGCTATCGCTCTTGATAAGTTATCTACCCTTCATTATTTAGGATTAACTTGTACTTCGAATCTTTCTTAAAAACCATATATCAAATACATCCAAAATTAGCATCTCCATCCATCCAAAATTAGCATCTGCTTAGGTTGCATCTCTTTATTGTGTTCTACACTTTCTTACTCGGGATTCTATTCTTTATCTCTATAAATCTTAATTCTATCTTTGTATGGAATACTGTTGCTATATCTGGGGCAGATCTTCCAATGATGCTCTTTCTCTTTTAGACAAGGTACAAAAATACAATGTAAACTTAGTTGGACCTGCTCTTGCAGCCAACCTCTAACTATCATCACATTGTCGTAATGTTGCTTCTCTTGCTCTTTTCTTTTGCAAAATGATTAGTCAAGTGAGCACAAGTTTTGGATGATGGATATTATTTATTAATAACATTAATTATAGTTTACTTAATAATATTAATTTAATTAGAACTTTAAAATAACAAAAACATTGGTTTATTTTTTTAATTTGGGTTGGTTGACAATTCACTTAAAAAAGTAATTTCAAATTAGAATTCTAGCTTGTTGTGGAAAAACCTTGACAAACTTACTTAACTTTACATATTCTTACCAAGTAATTTGTCAGAATTTGTTGGATCAACAAGCAAATCATCAGGATAAACTGGAGCAATTAGTGAATTTTCTGGAAATGTTATTGTTTGTAATGCTAAGAAAAAAATTAAATAAAATTATTTTGTTTAAATAATATTAGCTTATAAGTATATATTTAGTTTTTTATCAAATAAAAAAATTCATTAACAAAAAGATTAGAATTTTAAAATTTTTTTCTTTTAAGTATACAAAATACCTAGGAAAATCCTAATGAATTTATTTAAAGTTTCTGCAATCTTTTGAAAAACCTCTTTACTTTGAACAGCAAGATAAATATCCAAATCACAAATAACTTTTCGGCTTTGAAATAAAAACAAACAAAATGTAAATATAAATAATTGCAAGAAATGTAATCAAAAACTTTGTAGAATAAAAAAAATACTTCTGAATCAGTTGCATTGATGTAACTTCACCTAATAAAAACTCTCTGATTGATGAGCGAAGCAGTTCTGTTATCTTTATAAATAAAAAAAAAATGTATAAACATTACAGCATTTTTATTATAATTTGTAATTACAAAACTTTTAAACAAAACATGTTTATAAACATCTTTTAGAGAATGCAAACTTAATAGACATATAGTATGAAAAGTATTGTTTGATGTTTCTTTATTTTTGTCAACAACCCTAATTTTAATAATTTTATTTTTTTATCAAATAATCCATTTAGGCATTATTGAACTTACTCAAATATCTTCCTGAAAATTTTAAAAAATGTTTTTAATTTTTTAGATAATAAAGTACATTTATTTATTTCAATTCAAGCCAAAAAAAGTGTTTCCAAGAGACACAAAAAATCATGATTGCGGAATACAAAATATATAAAAGCTTTTGATTTTTATTTCTTTAGAGCCAAAATAACCAAAATAAAAAAGATAATTTAAGTCAAAACATGGCCTATACAAGCTGTTGTTAATGAAGTTTTCATTCCTATGCAGAAAGTTGAGGTAAAAAAAGTGAGTTATTTTAAAATTTTAGCAATTAAAAAAAAATGTTAAAGGCCTAAAGGGATGTAGTGTTCAGTAGAAGTCAGATCATTGGAATGCAATTGTACATGAAAGTAAAATTCTTAATAATTGGTAGAAAAGTTGAATAGTAAATATTTATGAAGGAGGAAGGGCCGCACTAGAGTGTGATTAAAAACAAGAAATAAAAATACTTTAACCAGGTAATACAAAAATTGACATGCTTTTCAGAAAATAATGGTATTTACTGAGTTGCAAGTTTGAAAAAAGATTTTTGGAAAAAAATTCTGCAGATGGATTTGTGGATTTTTAAAAAGCATACACACATGTATGTATATGTAGATATATATATATATATATATATACTTATATATATATATATATATATATATATATATATATATATATATATATATATATATATATATATATATATATATATATATATATAATTTTTAAGCAATTTATAATCTTAAATTTTAATATGAAGCTATTAAAATTTCTAGCATTGTCATAATTAAAAAAAATAACAAAATAATAACAAATTATTAAAATTAATAACAGTAACCTTAATTAATAAACTACTAAATTCAGTAACTTTTACTTAACAAATTCTCTAAATAATCTGAAACACATATATAGGCAGTAACTTTAACTTAAATTCTAAAAAATAATCTAAAAGACATATATAAGCAGTAACTTTTACTTGACAAATTCTAAAAAAATAATCTAAAACACAATTATAAGCAGTAATTTTTACATAACAAATTCTCTAAATAATCTAAAATACTTATATAAGCAGTAACTTTTACTTAAATTCTAAAATATAATCTAAAACTCATATATAAGCAGTAACTTTTACTTAACAAATTCTCTAAATAATCTAAAACACATATTTAAGCAGTAACTTTTACTTGAATTCTAAAAAAATAATCTTAAAGACATATACAAGCAGTAACTTTTACTTGACAAATTCTAAAAAAATAATCTAAAACACATATATAAGTAGTAACTTTTACTTAAATTCTAAAATATAATCTAAAACTCGTATAAAAGCAGTAACTTTTACTTAACAAATTCTCTAAATAATCTAAAACACATATATAAGCAGTAACTTTTATTTAAATTTAAAAAAATAATCTAAAAGATATATAAACAGTAACTTTTACTTAACATATTCTAAAAAAATAATCTAAAACATAATCTAAAACATAATAAAACATAAATAAGCAGTAACTTTTACTTAACAAATTCTAAAAAACTAAAATTTTACTACTTGCCTGATAATTGTGGTGACACATAAAATTCTGAGTAGCAATATTCTATTATAAATAGCATTTTTAAAATTTCATTTAAATAGCTAATTCTTGGTATTGTAAGTAACAGTAACTAATATATTATGTATATATGAAGATATACATAATATTTTAGTATATCTAATATATTATGAACTTCTTTGTGCGTCGAATTCTTAAAATTTCACAATTTAAGCTTCTCTTAGGTGTATTTTTTTAATGAAATGCTTTAATTCCAGCATTCTTATTAATTTTTTGATATAAGAATGAAAAGTCTTGAATTTTCTTGCTAGATCTCGCTGTGACTGGTTTGGATTTCTATTTCTCGCTATTGAATGTTACCTTGAATTGAATGTACTTTACCTTTAGACTATGAATGTACTATTGAATGTACTTTACCTTTACTTTAATTGACTTTACCTTTTTGGATTTATGGAAAGTTTTTTTTTCTTCTACTTCCAAGTTTTCTTTCAAAGCTTTGAGTAGTCTTGAATTTGTTTATAATATCTATGACTGTTGATTTTGGGACATTTGTGTGTTTAGCAATCAAGCATTATGTCGATGGATTTTTGCAGAAAAAATTTACAACTTTTTTAGGCACCTCTATTTTTGTTTCCGAAACATTTTGCAAACCATTAATTTGTAAACAAAACTTTATCAACACCATTTAAGATAAGGAAGTAACATTTAATTTTAAAAAATTTAAATAAAAAGCATTTGTGGTTTTAGAGAAATCTCAATTTAAAGTTGACCGGATTTTTCCGTGTCTACCTGATATATATATATATATATATATATATATATATATATATATTTTTTTTTTTTTTTTTTAAACTATTTTTTTTTAGGTTCTGATTTGTGCCCTAGTTCAGGAGTTACATAACTAAAATTGAATGTTATATAATAATGTACTGAAATATTGAAAAGTAAATTTATTTAATTTTTCTATTTTAACTTAATGTATAACTATATAATGTGTAACTATGTATGACAACATAAATATACATTAATTAACTATATATTATTTGCTGGCGACATAACTATATACTAACTATATACTAGTCTTGATAAAAAGTCATTAATTTTTGATCACTTAAAACAGACAAGTTCAAAGATTTTCTTCTTTAACAAATTAAGCCTTGCAGTGGCTAGTGAATTTTGAACCAAATAAAACTTATTTGTTATTGTTCTTTGTTATTTGTTATAAGGTTTTTTCAAAAAACAAAAAACCTGTTTTTTTTTCTTCTAAAAAAACGGCTAAACCAGTTGTTAATTTTACATTACTAAATAGTTTAATGATTTCTTGTTTTTGAAAGCTAACAACTAACGTGTAAAACACAAATATTGTGAAAATATATATAATTTTAAAAACTACTTTTTATTAATAGATTAAATAATAACAGAATCTTTCAACAATATATAAACTTTAAATAAATAATTAGTATTTTGTCAACTAATATTTTTTTAATATTTTATTTTGTTCTATTGTTTTGTTTGCTGTTCAATCATTAGTTATTGTTGTTTAATTATGTTAATTTAAAATTGTTAAATAACAATATCAAATTAAAACAATTAAACAACAAAAACAAATTTATGACCAACAATTTTTTTTGTAATTTTGACTTTTCTATAACTTTAAATATTATAAATCCTAGTATTTTTCAACATTATACTTTTGTAAACAGATCAAATGTGCAATTTTCGTTTAAAATTGTATATTCAGTTATGAATAGTATAAAAATAAAAAATAGGTTATTAAGTTATTAATAGGTTATTATAATTATGTAGTTTAATAGATATTACTTTGTTAAAAAGCATGACTTTTAAATTAGAATTACTTTATAATAATGTTTGCTATTTGCAGTGCACTTTAAACTGTAACTTTATTGTTTAAAAAAATTATTTTGCTAAATTTTGTTTCTTAAACTTTTTTTTTTTTATGTTTGTAGAACTAAGTCTTTCTCTTTTTGGTCATAAATCATATTGTTATCGGATGATGCAACCTATTATTTTTGTCTTTAAATTTTATTTAAGCATCTAATGATATAAAGAATTATTTGATGTTTATAAAAATTGATTCATAAATGACTATAAAAACACGTTTTTTTCTACAATACTTTTTTAAATTATAATATGCATCTGATACAAATTTGTTGATACTTTGTAGGATAAAAAAAACAACATTCAAAGGTGTTACAAACTTTGCAACACTTTGAATAAAACCTAATATCAACTTATCAAAATTTAAGATGAGTGTCTAGTTATTGAAAGGGTATGAAGGGACAGATTAAAATCCTAGGGTATTGAAATTATTAACCAACAATTTAATAGAGATCAAAATTGTTGCTTTTTTTTTTTTCTTTACAAAATTTTTTTTATCAAAACATTTTCAAAAAATTTTTTATTCTGTAATAAATATAATCTATTTTTAATCAATATTCATTGTCAACGTTGATTTGTTTATCTTAGACATCCTTTTTTTCGTTATCATACACATTTTTTATATGAAGAATAATTTTAAAAGTTTAGCTTTCTTACCTTTTTTTTATTTCTTTTATTAACTCCTTGTGTTTGTTTGCAACACTTAACATAAACTTATGGTAACTATTATAAATACTTATTTAATGATACCTTAGGAATATTATACAGTCTCGTTATGAACTTGTTTATAAACATTGCATCTAGCAAACTTCAGCAAAAAAAATTAAAAAGCTTTAAAATCTGAATTACTTAATTATATTATTTATATTTATTTATATTTAATTTTAATAATACATTTAATACATAATACATTTTAATAATACATTTAATAATACATTTATGTTTATAATAAATTATTTAAATTATTATTTAAATGCATTGTTTAAATAATTCTTAAATTTTTTAATTGTTTTCAAAAAAGCACTAAATTTGTTTTTATCTTTTGCATTAAATTAACAAGCAATTACACTTTTAATTGTTATATTAAAGTTTATCGAGCGAAGTTTTCAATTAAAAAAGAAAATCCTATATTCAAATGTTTGCACACAAATCCTTAATATCTTATATATAATTCTGATACGATGCCAAAAAACATATAAAAAGATTTGTAGCAAGAGACACAGGTTTTGAAGCTGCTATAATAACTGTTCAAAACTATTATAACAAATAAAAATTGAGCAATTTCATAAATGCAACTGTTCTTTACTTAATAGAATAAAAGTGTGAAAACCTCATCATATATTGCTTCTATTTTTTATTAATACAGCAAAACAATTTATCAAATTTTATTCAATTTTAAGCAGTTTTTAGAAAATATTATATTCGCATTAATGTTTATTTAGATACCTATTACAAACTTTTTTTTTAACTTTTATAACAGTAGTCCTTTCAGTATTATAAAAATCTGTTTTTAAAATTAAATTTTTATAATTTGCACGTTTGTATTTTAGTTAGAAAATATAAAGATAAAACTTTAACCTTATTTTATTATGAGACGTTTTTTATGACATTATTCTTATAATGTTTTTAAGAATAATAAGTACATTTTATTAAAAATAAAACTAAAAAAAAGTAAAAAAAAACCTGAGGCTCTAAAATTGCAATAACTCTTTCATACAGATAGCTACCATTGAAACTTGTCTCATAAACCCAAGTTTCTTGCGAGGTTAAGTGAAACCGAGAAGGCTTTGTCATTTGCTTAGTTTTTTTTAAATTCATATTACCTTTAATATCAATGAAAAATATAAATATATATACATATATATATATATATATATATATATATATATATATATATATATATATATATATATATATATATATATATATATATATACACATAAATACATACATACATACATACATACATACATACATACATACATACATACATACATACATACATACATACATAAAACTAAATTTCATAAATTATTATTTAAACATTTTTATAACATATCTTTTATAATATCAAATTATAAAAATTAAAATCTGCTAAATATCTTCAGAACTCATTATAAACTGTCCTTGAAACAAGTCTATTAAAAACAAACCTGTTAACTGCCTCCAGAATAAAGTTTCAGGAGCAACATCTCCAATAAATACTTCATCTACCAAAGTAGCATTCGAACTAACACTCCACACACGTATATCATTGTTTTGTGCAATATCTTTAAATGGCAAAGTACTGTCTAAGCACTTTGTTTTTAAAACAGGTTTCCCATCAATGTAAACTGATATAGTTTCATTATAAACAAATGCAAAGTTGTACCATAAACCAGACTTTCCAGGTAATGGATACAAACAATTATCATGAAAAACTAAAGTTGGTTTAACAGAAAGAACATTTATATCTATAACACCACAAAGCAACACAACAAGTGAAGTACTTATAATTGGCTGGTATTGATTTTCAATTTCACAGGTGTGCTTGACCCAAGCTGAAAACATATAAGAACTTTTACTTAAATAATTAGAAACATCTTGATTAGCAACAACAACATAGTTAGACTCAGTTGACAACCCATTATTAATAAAACCCAAGACAGGTTTAACTTCTGCTGATAACTTAACTTCATAACCATCAGAGTTGTCAGCCACAAAACTTCCATTAATAATGCTATTAAAAGATTGGTATAAAGTTTTGTTGAAATCATCTAAATCTGGAAACAAAAAATAAAATATAATAATTTAGATTCATTAAATTAACATCTCAAAAGCTGATAAAATACCAAGATAAAGAATATTAAAACCAACTCTTATAACATCTACTTTCATAGAAGAAAAAAATTTATAAACTGGATTTAACTAAATTTATTACAATCAACAAATCTAAACAATCTCTATATAAAATAATTACAAAAAAAGCACAAAAATCCAGACTCATTAATGTGCATTGTTCAAGAAAAATTTGCTACAATGGATTATTTTAAAAAGTTACATGACAACTAGTTCAACTGTTCTGTTGTTACAAATGTTGACTAAAAATGTTTAAAAAAACAAATTCATAAAATAATTATATATTTATTCAACTTTATTTTAGTAGATCTCTATCAGATAGTCTGACAGGATTGATATGCATAGAATTTTATAAATTTTGAATCTAGACAGGTATAGTTAAGTTTACTATGTATAAAACTAGATTTACAATTATAAATTATAATAATTTAGTAAACTATTTTGAATTAAATTACTTTATCATTTTCCATTTAATGAAAGTTTTCATGTTTTTGGGTTTTAGTTTCTATATTTCTTTAAACAGTCATTTCTATATGATTATATAGAATTATGTATGGATTGTATGGAATTTTTAATTTGTTTTGTTATTGTATTTTTTTTAATTGTATTAAAACTTGAGGTTATCTGGATTTGTTATAGACTTCACATTTACTATTTAACTATAGCCAACATTATTACAATTCTAATTAAAAAGATTATGTAGATTGTTGTCTACAAGAGTCAGGTAAGATGTCAACTAAAGTTAACTTTAAAATTTTCATTTTTTCTTTAAAGATTTGTGCTGAATAAGATGTTGTACCATAAATAAATATGTTTGCAATGTTTAATTTGATTTTTGTTTTTTAAAATTTATAGGTGAGTTTAGAGTTGTATCCTGATATTTGTAATAAGGTAATAAAGTTTACAAGCAGTTTCAATTAATAACACAGCAGATAATCTCAACTCAAAAGAGCAGGGGACTTCTTTTATTTTGTTAAGTGAATAATCAAATTAGAACAGACAAACTTAGTTATTATTTTATTAATAATCATCTGGAAAAACTGAAACAATAAAGATTAAATTTAAAAATTTAAAAACCAAGTTTAAGAAAGTATGAATAAATACACAAAATCAGTACATATGACGGATTAAACTGCAAACCATAAAATAATAGGGCATGAGTTTGTACATTAAAAAAAAAAAACAACAACAACAGACACTTCTTTGAATCATGTATAGTATTTTATTTATTTAATTAGGCTTTCTACTTTAATGCTTATTGTTGGGTTGGGACATAAAAAAAATCTTTTTACAAACTTGATATTATATAATAAACACCATTTTATTAGTTAATTAACTTTTATTAGTTAATTAACTTTTATTAGTTAATTAACTTTTATTAGTTAATTAACTTTTATTAGTTAATTAACTTTTATTAGTTAATTAACTTTTATTAGTTAATTAACTTTTATTAGTTAATTAACTTTTATTAGTTAATTAACTTTTATTAGTTAATTAACTTTTATTAGTTAATTAACTTTTATTAGTTAATTAACTTTTATTAGTTAATTAACTTTTATTAGTTAATTAACTTTTATTAGTTAATTAACTTTTATTAGTTAATTAACTTTTATTAGTTAATTAACTTTTATTAGTTAATTAACTTTTATTAGTTAATTAACTTTTATTAGTTAATTAACTTTTATTAGTTAATTAACTTTTATTAGTTAATTAACTTTTATTAGTTAATTAACTTTTATTAGTTAATTAACTTTTATTAGTTAATTAACTTTTATTAGTTAATTAACTTTTATTAGTTAATTAACTTTTATTAGTTAATTAACTTTTATTAGTTAATTAACTTTTATTAATTAATTAACTTTTATTAGTTAATTAACTTTTATTAGTTAATTAACTTAATCACCCATAATTAATAGGCAAGTTAGGATGCTTATATTATATATAGGGCCATAACGAAATTGTATTCATAAATTTAAATATAAATTTTGAATAACAAAAATTCAAATTTTTTTGATAAAAATATAAAATAAACTCTTATTAAAAATAAATAAAGAATGACGTGGTAGTTGCAGAATGTTATCTTAAGAAACAGAAAACAATATCACTCTTTATCTATTTTTTATTCCTATATCTTAAGTACACTTACAGTTACAACAGGTTATCTTCAGAACAGTTACAAGGTTTTCTTAAAAAACACTTGTAAATATTAAGCAACATAAGTAAATATTTAGTGACACTAGTAAATATTTTTATTTTCACCTTGAAGACAATCACCATTTTTATCAAAAATGTATTCCCATGGATACAATTCCCATTCACCATATAATGGATTACACCATTCACAACTACTTGTTTGTTGTGTGCATGCATTTTCCACTAAAAAAAATTCAAAAATTTTGATTCATATTATTGACCAACTGTAGCTTGAAATATTTTGCTTTAAATAAAAATTAAAAGTATATTATTAAAAAAAAAGTTAAAACTAAAATTGAAAAAATTAAAAAAACCCTCTTGTGATATAAAGTTATTGAAAATTAGTGACATGCATGATGTTTAAACTTATTGTGTTATCTTAAATTATTTATATTTTTTATATAGTTATTATATCTTTATACAATACACATTATTTTATATAAACAATTATATTTAACTTTTTAAATCAAAAACAATTTGCAAATAATTATGAACTTTCAAAAAATCACAAAAATCCAGGAAATACATAATAAATGCCATCATTGATATTTTCCCTCATTTCTAATGTAACTTATAAATATATTTTGAGTTGATTGAAAATAAAGCCATAAAACCTTTTGTCAACAAGAACTAATTAGTCAACCAATACAATAAAGCAATACATTTCTGAAATGGTTGGTGATTACACTTTAATGTTGTTTACAAATATCAAAGTTACTAACATTTACTAACATTTTAACCTAACAAAGTTACTAACATTTACTAACATTACTAACAGTTACTAACATAACAAAGTTACTAACATCAACACAAAGTTACTAACATTAGGTAAACACCCATGACAATGATTAAAATAATATTGGTTATATAAATAAAAATAATGTTTATAATCTTGATCTATTCAACGCTGCTGTTATCCATTTGTGTGTGTTTAACATGGAATTTTTTTTGTATTGTTTTTTGGTGTGAATTTGGCTTTAAAAATTTTTTTGATGGTAAAATTTGTTAGTTCTTTATTATTACTATTTTTCATTTTCAAACTTTTTTTTAACATTTAACTTTGCATTTTGTTTTTAGTAGCTTTTATTTCTTGTTCTTTTTTTCTTTAGTCTTTTTATTTATTTAAATTAAATAATTATAAATTATTAAATAAATTTAAATTTTCCTTTGATTGTTGTTGTTATTTATTCTTCGATTTAAAAAATAAATTTTACGATTTTCTTTTTATTAATCTCCTTTTTTTTTTCCTTGTTAAAAACCACCGCTGTCATACGCAATGTTATTGCAAAAAATGAATTAAAAGTAAGAAAAAATGAAAAAATAAATACTAGACACCAATAATTTTTCAGAGAAAATAAAACATCATTTTACTAAAGAAAAAGATAAGAATAAATTGATACCAATTTCACTGAGTTTTAAAAAAACTTTAAAAACTTATGTTTTAATAAATTTCATATTTACACATAATACTATTAGCAAAAATAAATTACCTGTCTTATTCATACATAACATTGTTGCTTTTAATGCAGAATGAAACAATATTTCTTTGTACATTTGAAAACAGAATATGCTATTTTCCAAAACAATTGTCAGGTTTGAATTTTGTGGAAATTGAATTCCATCATAAACAATACTCTAGTTAAACAAAAATTTTCTTTTAAAACATTTATAAGCTTTACATAAATAAATTTAAATTCAAAATTAAATTAAAAATATTTTTAAAAATTTTTTTCAAACATTTTTAAAAAAGATTCTTTCATATAATGCTTATTTTAAACCCAAATACTTTTTAAATTAAACAAAAATAAATACTTACAACAATAAAATCCACTTCAAACGAAAGCTTTAAAAACTTTCGCTCATACTGAACAACAATGTAATGCCATTGTAAAGATGGATTTATGTTATCATCTTTTTGTAAGTTATCAACACTTGCTCTAGATTATGGAGTAAAATAAAAAAATTCTCAACAAAAACTAGAAAACTAATTTTATTTAAAATTGCTAATAAAGTAATTAAACAAAAAAAAAAAAAAAAAAACATTTAAATATATGCACCTAATTGTAGAAGTAGTTCGCTGATAAATCTTTATTTCTTTACCATACATAAAACTAATAATTTGGTTTTGTGAATTTTTAACTTGGTACCAAAATGTAAATGTAAAATCTTTGTTCAAATTTACTTCTAAAAAACTAAGTGTTTTCCTTGAAACTTTTTCAATGTATCCGTATATAGTTTGCAAAAAAATACTATTATCATCTGATGTGACTATAGAATTAGGGAAACTTGCAAACAGTTCCAAAGATCCTCTAACATAGATTGCAGGATAAGGAAAGAATGAATCATTCAAGTATGTTAAGTCACTCTCAAAATCTACTGTTAAATAAAAGTTTTTTAATCAAATATGATTGAATACAATCATAAATCATAAATTTTTTTATAAATTTTCTATATCAAAATTTAGCGAAAACAAAACAAAAATTCAATATCTATATACAATGTTTATAAATATGAATGCAGCATAAGATACACACTAATGATATCATACTAAAATAGGTAGCTGTGGGGACTTTTGAACATACATTGACTGACTATCTAGATAAAATATTAAAGGGAGTGCTGCTACATCATCCATACAGTTTTTTTGCAAATAAAAAATATCGAATAAATAATGAATAAAACTTATTACTGTCCGAACCCAAAACCTTAGTCAGTGTACTTGTAATTTCCTTACATGTTCTCTCTATTCAGTTGATGAATGTACTGAAGACCCTGGCAGCTCCCTATTTTAGGATGACTTCTGAGTGCCAATATCAAAGCTGTTATATATATATATATATATATATATATATAATATATATATATATATATATATATATATATATATATATATGTATATTTATATATGTATATATATATGTATATTTATATATGTATATATATATATATATTTATATACACACACACATAAATGCACCACAATGTATTCTATATGATAAAATAACACTGAATTTTAACACTGACCACTTAATAACACTGAGAAGAGAGAAAAACAAAAGTATGAACGTTTGCAACTGGTAAAGTCAGAAAAAGTAGTTAATGTAGAATTAATAAATCAGTCAAAAGTCAATATAGCACAGACTAGCTCTATAGTCAAGCAGTCAAGCACAAGTGATTTGATCTAAGTTCGAAATCCAGGAAAACAAACTAAGAAGTCAAACAATTAATTTATAATAGCAAATTCTACTATAAATGAATTGAACAAAGGTTAAAAGAGAGTTAAAAATATCATTATTTATGGAGTGTAAGAATCCATTAAGTTTTTTTAAATAATAAAAGCGCTAAAAATATTTACAGAAATTGGAGTTCAAGACATAAACTTTGAGAATGTGAGACAATTAAGAAGTGAAACTTATGACAAGCCAGATAAATTGTTGGTTTACTTAGCTAAGTCTATCTTCAAAATGAAATACTAGTTTCATAAAAAAAATTAAAACTGCTTCCAAGTTTAAAAAAAATATATACACATCTCTAGATTTAAAAGATGCTGAACGTCAAAGGGATTTTATACTCAGAACAGAGCAAAATAATTTGACTAATATATGACTATAAGGAGACAAATACCTTTTGGTATGGTATCCATGGAAATCAGATACAAAAATTTAAAAAGAAACCAATCAAAGTTAGGCAGTAAGGCTAACCGTGTGTTATCAATGAGTAATTTTGAAAAAATAAGTTTCATGTATCTTAATGCCCAATCTATTGACAACAAATTTGATGAATTCAAACTAGCAGCTGCAACTTGTAATCCTAAATTAATTAGTGTCACTGAATCATGGTTTAAACCTACTTCTCTCTGCTATTTGGATGGTTGTTTGTATAAAAAAAATAGATTTAATGGTCGCCGAGGAGGAGGTGTATGCATTTATATTGACAACAAAATTATTTCATAAGAACTTAACAATAATGCATTTACATTGAGTCAAATAGAGCATTTCTGGGTTGTTTGATAAATTTACAGACTTAATGATTTTACAATTATGACAGATATTGAAAATGTATTGAAAATTCCAAGAGAACATGTTTACCAAAAAGTTTTAAAAGATCTAATCATAGTTGGCGATTTTTATCTTCCTCGCATAAGTCCAAAGCTCAATAAACTTGTAATAATAAATTAAATAAACTTGTAATAATAAATTAAAGGATCATCAGACATTTAGCATGTTTTCTTTTGAAAAATAATTGAACATTACCTATATTAGCATGTAAACCTACCAAATTTTCAAACAACGAATGAATCTGCTGTAAACATTTTAGATTTTATACTCACACTACAGTCACCAAATTTATACTCACACTACAGTCACCAAAGTGCCATCACTAGTAAATTTGTTTTAGAAAACATATCCAAAGGTCATTTAATATTGTGTTTTGATTTTATTGTTGAAAATTAAACTATGAATGTAAATAAAAAAAAATTTATATAGAAAAGCTGATTATAATAGAATTAAAGAAAAAAAAAGAACCAAAAAAATTTTATAGAGATACATAAATTTACTACAATATGTAAAAGATTCTATAAAAACTCTGCAAATACCAAGTGAAGAAATAACTCAAGATCCAGAAAAAAATTGCTGATATACTGAATACAAATTTTCAAAATGTTTTTGTCAAAGAAAATAAAGTGTACTCCATTTTTCAAAACAATAGTCAATGATAACACCTTTAATATAATTCCAGCAGATATTCACTAGGATGATATTTTGAAAGGCTAAACAACTTTGATCAAAACAAAGCGAAGTTGACAAGTTACATCCATCTTGTAAAACTGTGTTATTGCTTTTGCTCTTAATCTCTCACTAATTTTTATGGAGTCAACTACCAAATCAATTAAACTACAAAAGAGTCAACTACCAAATCAATTTAATTCAGCAAATATAACTACACTATATAAAAAAGGTAACAAGACTGATTCTGTAAATTATAGAACTTCCTTGTATTATTTTTAAAATACTTCAAAAGCAAATAAGAAAAATATCTTTATAAAGATAATATTAAAGCTAATCAACAGCATGGGTTTGTTAAAAACAGGCCATGTACAACAAATTTACTTAAAACCCTTGATCATATTACAAAAAATCAAGGAACTATTGATGTAGGAAAGAGGGAACTATTGATGTAATGATGTTTACTTAATTTTGCAAAAGCATTTAATATGGTTCCACACCAAACAACAATCTCTAAACATGAGGTATAAATAGTGTTAATGGCTTAGCAATTTAATGGTTTCAAGTTTTCTTATCTTAAATAGGCAGAGAGTTATCATGGGAGATTATTTTTCATCTTAGGCTGTGATATACAGTGGAGTTCCTTTAATCTCTGTATTGGATCCACTACTTTTTATACTTTATATATATGATTTTCTCTAAAAAATAATTCCAAAATTTATGCTGATGACACAAAAACCATATCAATTAGTTCCTCTGATGAGTTATATAACAAACTACAGAGCAATTTCAAGTCTGCATATGCATTGACAAAAGGTTAATTAGTTGGTTTTAATATTGACAGTTGGTTAAAAAAGGTTAATTAGTTGGTTTTAATAATGATTAGTTATGCACTAAGGATATAAAGATAAGAGATATCCAATTTATATAAATGGTTGTAAACTCAATACATCAAATTCAGAAATGGACCTAAGAGTATTTTTTCAGATAACTTGAAATAAAAAAGCATAGCAAATTGTATCATAGGCATAATAAGGAAATCTTTTATTAAATTTGATGTAAACTATTAAAATCTCTATCTTTCATTTATACGACCACTTATTCATCTAAAACCTTTCATTTATATGACCACTTATTGAGTTTTTTGTACCGGTATGGTCTCCTAATCAAAAACAGATATTGCCACTAAGTACAGTGTCCTGCCACTAAATTAATACCTTCAATCAGTAAATTATACTATGAAGATAGACTTGCTTAACTTGGATTGCCCTCACTTATAAAAAGAAGACAACAAGTTGACAAAGTATAAAGTTTTCAAAAGTTACAATAAAGTTGAATTAAAAAGAAAATTAATCTTTCAAATCAAATTTTACACGTGGCCATACCTTGAAATATTTTAAAGAATTTTCTATACATAATTACTGAGAAATATTTTACCAAATCGAGTTGCAAATTATTGGAATAAAAAGACAAAAATGTGTTAAAGTAATAACGTGTTAAAGGTAATAACTGTGTTAAAAGTAATAAATAACGGAAACATGTTTACTACTATGACAACATAATTTTATCAATTTCATGTTTATAAGGATCCAGAAATGTTTATTATGTTTATTAGATATAATGACATATTCACATATTAAAATTGTTATATTGTACACATTTGAAAAAAAAAATTAACTGACGTTAAAAATGAAGAAATTCATAAAAAATAAAAAACCATAAAAACTGATTTCATCAATTACTGACATTATTTTCTCCAAAAAATTAACTGCTTCCAAACTTTTAAGCAGTAGTATATATATAGCCTAAAATATTTTATTTAAACTTCTTAAATAATTGAAATAAAAATTCATAAATACAAAAAAAATGCATATATAATAAATTCATTTAAATACTAAACAACAGCTACAATAAAAGTATTTGTTAAAATTCAAAATCAATATATTGTTGGACTATAGTCATTAAGTTATTCAAATTAAGTTATTCAAATACCAAAAACGAGAATCCTATTATAACAATTTATAATTTAAATAAAAACTTTTTATTAGTAGTTGAAATAAAGCCATCTTTTTATTAAATGAATTTTTAAGGTCTTCCATTTTAACAATTTAATATTGAAAACGCTTAGTGAAGAAAATTTATGACTTTATATACATTAATTCAATTAAGTTAACCTTCTTAAACTAATTTTTTTCCTTTTTTCTTTACTTTAAATAATTTAAATAAAGCCTAAAAGCTAAAAAAGTATACTTAATACAATCAATGCAATGTATTTAAATTTATTAAAAAATTCATTACTACTAGTGCTTCCAATACCAATACCATTTTTCAATACCGGTATTTCAGTACTGTATAATTTCAAAACCAGTAATACCAGTATAATATCAGTATTAAACTTTTTTTTTAATTTATCATAATATGAATAAAATTTCAAGTTAATAGAAAAAATTTTATTGATTCAATAAGCTTATTTATTTTATATCAAAATTACTGACTTTTTCATTTTTCGCTTTTTTCTCCTTCATAAAATGAACCCATAAGAAACCTAGTGCGTTCAGAGTATCATCCTTGTAATTTTGTGACAATGTTACCAATTACTGAAAACCCAAGCTCCAATTTGACCCTTGTTGGCTATATAGTTTACAAATATTTGTAGGATTTTTGTAAATATATACTACAGTTTCTCCTTCTTTGAAAACTGCGATCTCATTACATATAATTTAAGATGTATTATTCGAAACATTAAATCTAACCCAGTTGTTACATTTCTTTTTTTTCAAAATTGCAAAGTCAACCTTTTCTTTCAAAAACAAGTTTACAACAGAATTGCTATCAGAAGAAACGCTGGTGGAGGGGAGAGGATTATACGGTTTCTGATTGAGTCGATCATTCAGTCCAGCGATGGTATTTAAAGTGGCTGATTTGCTAAGGTGCAATTCTTGTAACTTTGATGGCTCTTGTGCAGATTATTGCAGTTGGAAAAAGTTTATTTTGCTCATTGAATTGTTGCACGAACATAGCTTTCAGTTTAATAGCTAAATCGGTTTCTCCAAGATTATCTATCATGAACATTTGTTTTGTATCGGCTGAAAACAGTGTTGCATTATTTCGGCACAATGCTTCCACAGCCAATTTTACTGGCACAAGATATGAAGCAGCAGCTAAAATTGCATCAATCTCCTTATCATTTTTAACTTTAGACTCAAGAACAATCAGTGACTTGCAATACAATTTTACAAAACGTTTGAGCATTGTGTGCAAACTACTCCAGTGTGTTTTGGAGTCTAGTATTAGTGGAAAGCTATTAGGAAATTTGTCTGAAGTGTATTTTTAAAGTGTTTTATCATTTTTTTTCAGAGAATGGCTAAACAATTTCACAATGGCGCGCACTTTATTGACTAGTGGCCGCAAATCATCAAACAGATAGATAATAGAGTTCTTTTCACTCATTACAACTTGAAACCCTCCGGAAAAGTCTTCATCATCATTGGTTTTGTTTATTTTATACTCTCATTACAAGATGAAGGAGTTTTGTTTATCACGGGTGGAAGTTTTAATTATTTTCGTGTTTTATGTATGTTTACTTTCGTGTTTTATGTAAAGAAAGTGATCACATCAGCTATATCACAAGCACTCTACATACATTTTTAATACCAGTATTTTGGTACTTGAAAAAGTCTGGTAATACCAGTATTCTGGTATTGGTACTACCAGTTTTAAAAGCACTAATTATCATTACTAAAATAAATCATATCTAAGTTATTTCTACTATTAGAATATTGTTATTTCTACTATTAAAGGAATAGTATTATTATAGCCTTATATTATTGGTGCTATTATTTTGATATTTCTCTTTCATATAAATTTTATATCATCTTGACAAGAGTTTCAAAAATCAACAATGAATGAAAATACATAAATTACCAGTTGGCTCCTTTTCTCCCAATTTATTACAACTTAAAAACAGTATTGTGCCAAGTGCAATGTAACCAATTCCAAGGCCATTTTTTAAAGCAACAAAATTTACCTAATAAAATTTAAATTACAAAAAATAAGTATGATTTAACAGAAATATATTAATTCAATATACAAAAGTATATATTAAAATGTAATAAAATATTTAATTAACTTAAATTTTTAAGAAGATTAGTATGTTTTTAATGTAATTTAATGCTTACTGATAAAACGTCATCGTGATTTTGCAAATTAATAAAACTGGTAACCCATTGGTTGAGACCCTCTCGTCGATAGAAAAAAGCTAATTCTTTTGTAATTTGATTAGTGTAACCTAATACAACAAGACTCACAAATCCTGTTCCACCAAACTTAAACTGAAATGACAAACATGAACTAGTAACAGGTAAAGAAATTGATTCCAACAAATCTCGAGAATCACTTTGAATTGCACTTGCATGTATGAAAGTAACTGTAAATTAAAAATATTTTAAATACCTTTTTTTTTACTGTTATGGATTTGTATAAACTATGCAAACTGCATGTTTTAAATTAGTTGTTTTTATGTTTTCAGCCAAAAATAAAATAAAAATTATTACTTATATACAATTGTTTATTAAACTGTTGTATACTTGTTGTTTTCCAAAGTTTATAAATATAAATAACAGAAATAAGTCTATAGATTATTAAGATTTTTACAAGAATATATATATTTTTAAAAACATTAAAATTTTTTAGAAATAACAAAAAATTGTAATAATTAATAAGAAAACTAAGCTCTTACAGGGTTTAGGCAACAAGTATGTAATTACTAAAACACATCCTGGTTGCAAAACAACACCATTAAACCTAACTATGATTGTCAATGGTTTAGCATAATTTACAACTTTAAGCAGGTGACTAAGCAACAGTGTTAAATCAGGACTAGAAAAAAGCTCATTTGAATTTACGGAGTCACACCATTTAGTTTCAACTATCTCTGCATTGTTTTCAAGTTGCATTGTTATACTGGAACATGAATCACTTTTACTTGAAACTAAACTGCCTTCTATAAATACTTTTTGAAGCCATATCTCTTGAAAGTTCAACATTATATTATCAAAGTATGCAGCTAAGTTATTAAAAACATACACATTTATTTCTTCATCATAATAGTCATCATCATTCATTAAAAAAACATCTGATAGCCTGCTAGAGTATTCAACAGTACTTGACAGTTCTATAAAATATAAAAAAACAACAAATAAGAAGTTTTGAGGTCTTGCAAAAATTTCTGTTTTGAATATTAAAAAAATGTTATATTCTAAATAATATTGACATGTAGTTACAAGTAATCATTTAAAGTGAATTATACACCTTAATTAAAATGTGTAAATGTAGCAAGATAATAGAATAATAGTAGTAAAACAATCGCAATAGCATCAATAAAAACAATAATTGCAATAACAACAATAAAAAAAAAAAATTTCAATAACAAAATAAAAATAACAATTGTAATAACAACAATAAAAACAACATTTGTAATGGCAAAAATAAAAACAACAATTCCAATAAAAATAACTAAACAACAATTGCAATAACAATAAAAACAACATTTGTAATGGCAACAATAAAAACAACAATAAAAAATGAAGTAAAATAATAATGATAGTGAAAAATAGTAATAATAAGTTGTAATAAAAAAACTGATAACAATGATAATTTAAAAAGTACAGAAAATAAAAAATAGATGTAAAAAAATATAAAAGCAACTTCTTAACTATTTGTATAATAGAATGTTAAAAAGACTATTGTAAGATCCATGATTTTATGTATTAATAACTAACAGATTTTTCACCATATATAATTAATCAATGAAAGAATGACAAACAGTTAAGCTTCTAACAAACAGTTAATTAATCAATAATGATGAACAGTTAAATTACTTGAAGATCAAAGATGATAAAGATAGGAATGGTGAAAATAAACAATCCAATAAAAAAATAAATTAACAGTTGAGTCCACATGATGTAAGCATTCTAGATACAAACAAAAAAAATTATAAATAATTTTATTATGATGTTAAATAACCTTAAAAAAAACCTGTGACGAATATATCTAAGTTGTGAGTTAATTTTAATATCAAGGTACTTTATAGAGTTAAAAGGATGACTTTCTTTCAATCATGTCTGAAATTTAAATGCTATAAACTTTAGTTAGGAATAAAGCAAATGATTTTAGTTTTGTTAATGAATTTATTAGTACCAGTAAAAAAGATTGGATGAATCATCATTTATGCTTTTGTATTTGTACTTTTTTTCACTTGATTTGCTTGCTTAAAGCAAGTTTTTGGCATCAGCAAAATAGTAACCAGTTGAAAATCTAAAAGTCATATTAGGATCATAAGTGAATATTATAAATAGCAACAGGTCTAATGCAGAACTATATAGTAAACAAATATAAGATTTTTTAACAAAGTGCTTAACAGTATCAAATGCTTTACAAAAGGTAAAAAAACAAAAAAACAAAAATACCAAAAATGAATAAAATTGTTTTCAAGTGTTTTTCAGGTACCAACTGATTTTAATAAGTGTATTTTCTGTAGAATGTATGATACAAAAACAATACTAGTGTTTTTATAGACAATAAAATTTTTTGAGAAAATCTTATACATAGCTTTTTTGAAAGTTTTACTTAATTTGAAGAAAAAAAAGCGATAGCGGTCAATGATTTTTTCATAATTAAATACAGAACTCTTAATTATGAAGTTTATTATGAAGTTTTGAAAAATTTCATTAATGAGTTTTTAAAAATTTTGTTCTCAGGAACAAGAAGATTTAGCAACTAACATGTTGTTGAATAATCAAAGGGGCAATCAAATATGTGCTCAATTATAGGATTCATTGGAATTCATTGAAATTCAGTCAACCATAATAAAATAATTTAAATATTAAACTGACTAAGAAAAATAAAAAATCGACTAACAGGTTTAAAATATTATTCAATGACAATGTTCAATCTCTTTTATTAAATAAATATAAAAATTTTCCTTTTTTTTTTTTTTTTTGAAAACTACTTGGTTTTTGATTTCCAACTGATTAGTCTGATTTATTGTGTTTTGAAAAAAATCTAAAAAAAGATTTTATTTTTACTTCAAGATATATAAAAATTTTTTGAGAATAAAGCAATAAGAAGAAGGCAATTGTGATATTGATTCACTATTTCACAATTTAATTGTGAAATAGATTCAACTAGTGATAATAATTAGTGTCATAACAAAAACCAAATTTAGTTAATTTTAATCTCTGATTAATCACTTTCTCTAAAAGATCTATTCCCTTTAGATTTCAAGAAACTTGTTGTTTACAAATTTGCTTGTACATAATGTATTCTCTATTTATTAGTTAAACTTCTTGCCACCTTAAAATATGAATGATAGAATGCTATAAGAAAGAATCCACACATCGACAAGGATCTTTGTTCCAAAAATATTTATTTTGTCAATTATAATAAAAATTTCCTTTTGATATTGGATATATCAATAAATCAACATAAAATTAACTTTTTTTATTTATCTAATAAAAAAAACAACAGAAGAATAAACAGTAAAACCATTTGTAATACAAATAAAAAAAAAATTTTAATTGCTGAAAGTACATAATAAATTTAAATATTAATTTTAAATATAAATTTTAATAAGTAAATTTTGGAGCGGTAAAAAAAGATTTTAGCATTTTCAGTTGTTTAAACTTTAATGACAAAAGTTGAGTAGTGCTGTATATATATATATATATATATATATATATATATATATATATATATTATATATATATATATATATATATATATATATATATATATATACAGCACTACTCAACTTTTTTTATCTTTGGGCTCATGGTTGTCAAGCAAGAACTTACTTTCCTTACGGCACTTAGATATTGTTTCTATTTAATTATTTAAAAATTCTTGCATACCTTTGTATAATATTATGCAAAGTTTTTCATGAAGGCAAAGCAAGCATTTTTTTGTTGCGCTGCTGTAGGGGGGACTTGTTTAATTATTAACCAGGTTAATAATTAAACAAGTCCCCCCTACAGCAGGGACTTGTTTAATTATTAACCTTGAAAGGGTGGTTGAATTTTTCAGCTTTTTGTTTGTGAATGAGTATTTGTGGTTAGCCCATCTTTTTTTTATTCACCTTCTGCTAGGCCAATATATACTTTTTCTGTAGTGTTAGGGGGGGCGGGGGGTCAACTATATATTATAAATAACATTAGAGGCTCTACAATTTCCTTTTATATGGTTTTTCTGAAATAATTTTCTTGCTGTGGCTTTTTATTATTTTTTTGATATTTTTGGTGCAGCTGTAACTCATTTTGATGGTATTTTGATTGAATAGTTTACTTTGGGGGTAGGATGTTGGAAAATGTTTGTGGATTAAGTTCAGGAAGATATTTCCTTCATTGGTTAAAGCACTTTTACAATACAGGAGGTTAAATCATATTTTATTACTTTTTCTTTTCCTTTATTTATATATTTATTGACTTTTATTTATATATCAGAGTTGACTTTTATTTATATATCATACATATTTTCATACATTAATATTTCATACATTTTATTTATATATCAGAATTGACTTTTATTTATATATCATACATATTTTATTTTTGTTTTAACACTTGAATATTTATTGTCAACAACACAGTGTAGTTAGTAAGTTAAAATTGTAATTAATTAGGTGATAACTAAATAGCTAATATATAATCTAATTTTTTAAAACATTTTATTAGATGATCAAGTTAAGATTGATAACCTTGAAGATGAGATTTTTAGTTTCATTTTACATAACCTCATTTTAATGAAAATTTTATATTTTTGATTAAACATTTATTTGATTGTTTTGTTCTTTTGCAGCTTTCATTGCTTTGCAGTTTTTATAAAATTTTTATATCTGCTTTAGTGTAACAGCAAACACAAGCTTTTAAAATTCTAAATTATATAAATATTAACTTGATATTTTTCATCTTTAAGTTTTGGTTACTTGAACTAATCCTAATATAATGAGCAATAAGTTTACATTATGCAATACAAATATATAAAAAAAGTATATAAACTAGAGTAATAAAAAATCTGTTACATTTTGAATATTTATAAATTGTTTATTTAGAGAACACGGCTGTTTCAAGGTCAACATACGACTTCTTGTTGTTTTTTTTCAAATTAAGGGGCATTACTGAAACTTTTATAACTTTTGAAATATTACAGATAATTTTGTTCTTTAAAAAAAATATAAACAGCAATAAATTGTTTTATCTTTTAACATTCAATAAAGTATCAAAAGTTTTTTTGATTTTTGAATAAACACGCAGAATTTACGAACATAGCTGATTTTGAAAAGATTTATCTTTTTAACAAAAATAATTAAAAAAAAAAACATTTCTGTTGTTTAATACATGATATAAACATTGTTAGACCATTTTTAAAGCAAAAAATTTTACTTCAACCTAATATGAACCGATAGAGGGATTATTAATGTCAGACAACAAAATCGCCAAATATTACAAAAAGCGCTTTTTTCTTAAAAAAAAAAGTAATTTTAACGGAAATTAAATATATTAATCAATATTTAAGACATTTAAAAAATATTTAAATATTTGAAGATAATTTCACTAAGTTGATAAGCTTAATAAAAACCAAAATAAAACTAAAGCATAATTTTGTAATGTATTTAAGGTTATGTGACATAAAATACGTCAATGCTTCAAAATATAAACAAAAATTCATGCTAAAAACAAATTTAGTGCTAAACATGCTATGTTTGAAAACATATTTCATAACATAGCTAGAGGTACAGAAAATAATTTTTTGATTTTTTTATTAGTATTACTTATTCCACAGACTTTTCAAAAAAATTGTGTTTATTATTCAAACCAAATAAAAATACAAATATAAATGCATTAAAAACTAACTTTTTATGTAAAAAATTGAAAAGTCTACGGAAATCTAGATAGAATAGATATTCATTATTAAGTGCTCCAAATTGCAATCATCGACCATGTAGCTATGTTATGAAATCTTAGTTGGCCTAAGAGAGGTTTTCCGTAAAAGTTGCAAAAATCAAAAAAGTGATCCCAAGTTATTACCAACATTTCTATAACTTTTATTTCTATTCCATTTAATGCAAATACTTATTTAACAAGGAAAGATAGATCTTTCATATTTTTTTAATTAGAA